ATCTCATTGAAAGGGTGAAGGAACGATCAAACGCGTAGTCTCCCCTTTCGGCTGTGGTCCGATATCCATATTGAGCGACGACTGAGGACGGGGCAAGCCGCCTCTACAATCGTCTTGCCGCTCTCGTCGAGCCGCTCTTGCAGGCAAGTCGACTGACAGCGTTAGCTAAAGTCTCAGGATGTGTCCCTGGCGTAGCGCTCCGCCTGCTCGATACAGGTATCGATTTGACTAGCTCGATCAGGGACTTTGGGGCGGATCGCGTTGGCGAGGCGCGTCGCGGCATCCACATTCACGACGACGGCGCCATGGCCTTCGAGGCCGATCTTGATGCTCGGCTCCTCGAATCGGTTGGGAAGCGGTTCAAATTCGAAAGGCTTCGGATCGGGTAGACCCAGGCTCGTGAGAATAGCTGCGCGAGAGGGCATCGGATACGTTCCGTTCCTGTTGAGCGTACGCCCTCCCTAAAGCCAGATATAGGAGCCCAAACACGAAGATTCAACTCGCACTCTGTCACCAAAGTTCGTATCCAATTGCGCGCCACCCCAACACGTCATGGCCGGGCTTGTCCCGGCCATCCACGCGTTTACACACGCTCCGACGGACCCGGCTGAGAAAGATGGATGCCCGGAACGAGTCCGGGCATGACGGCGAGTGGAAGAAGCCACTTACGTCGTCTGGCCGATCTCGTCGAGCCGTTCCTGCAGCGCGAGCCGGCTGATGCTGGCGAGCGGGAGGCTCGTGAAGATCGAGATGCGGGCATAGAGCATGCGGTGGGTCTCGGAGAAGGCGTAATCTCCGCATCCGTGCCGGTCGCCGCGGCGGGGTCGGGCACGCCCCAGTGGGCGCTCATGGGCTGGCCCGGCCAGGTGGTAGGCAGACCTCGGCGGCGGCGTTGTCGCAGACCGTGAAGACGAAATCCATGTGCGGCGCATCCGCGCCCCGAGGTGGCATTCCGGGCGCGCCTGCGTTAGCTTGGTGCCGTCACGCAGCGTGGGAAGCCGGTGACGCCCGCATCTGGGAGAGGCGCGGGCCAGTCCGGCGCTGCCCCCGCAACTGTGAGCGGCGAGACGGACCCGGGCGCAAGGCGCGCAGGCCACTGATCCTTCGGAATCGGGAAGGCCGGGCTCCGTTGTTGACCCCGAGCCAGGAGACCGGCTGCGCGGCAGGGCTGCAACGTCCTCGGAGGGAGGATCATGGCGGGTCTCGACCAGGCGCCGGCTCCGGCGCGCATCACCCTCGTTCTCGGCGGCGCCCGCTCGGGCAAGAGCACCCATGCGGAGGCGCTGCTCGACGACCATGCGGGCCCCCGGCTCTACATCGCCACGGCGCAAGCGCGCGACGACGAGATGGCGGCCCGCATCGCGGCGCACCGCGCCCGCCGCGGGCCCGGCTGGCGCACGGTCGAGGCGCCGCTCGCGCTCGCCGAGACCCTCGAAGCCGAGAGCCGCGCCGGCAGCGCGCTGCTGGTCGATTGCCTCACCCTCTGGCTCAGCAACCTGATGGAGGCCGGCCGCGATATCGCCGCCGAGATCGAGCGCCTCGTCGCCTGCCTCGGCCGGCTGGAGGGGCGACGGTGCTGGTCTCGAACGAGGTCGGCCTCGGCATCGTGCCGGAGAACGCGACCGCCCGCGCCTTTCGCGACCATGCCGGGCGGCTCAACCAGGCCGTGGCCCAGGCCGCCGAGCGGGTGGTCTTCGTCGCCGCCGGCCTGCCGCTCACGCTGAAGCCGTGAGCGCGTCGTGAGCGAGCCCCGCATCGCCTCGCTGGTGCCGAGCGCGACCGAGATCGTCGCGGCCTTGGGCCTTGCCGGCAGCATCGTCGCCCGCAGCCATGAATGCGACTGGCCGCCTGAGGTCGCGCGAGCGCCGGCCTGCACACGCGCCAGGATCGACACGACCCTGCCAAGCGGCGCGATTCACGAGGAGGTGGGCCAGCTTCTCTCAGCAGCGCTCAGCCTCTACGACCTCGATACCGAGATCCTGCGCTCCGCGCGGCCGAGCCACATCGTCACCCAGGACCAGTGCGATGTGTGCGCGGTCGGCCTGAACGAGGTCGAGGCTGCGGCGGCAGAGTTTCTTGAGGCGCCGGTCGAGATCGTCTCGCTCGCGCCGATGCGCTTGGCGACGTGTGGGACGATATCGCGCGCGTGGGCACGGCACTCGGCGTCGACGCCGCGCCGGTCTGCGACTGGGCTGCGGGCGCGGGTGGACGCAATCGCCAAGCGCGCCAAGGCCCTTGCGCCCAAGCGCGTCCTCACCGTCGAGTGGAGCGACCCGCCATGACCGCCGGCAACTGGGTGCCGGAACTCGTGACCCTCGCGGGCGGGATCGACACCCTGGGCGCCGACGGCAGCCACTCGCCAAGGATTAGCATCGAGGCGGTGCGCGCCGCCGATCCCGACGCGATCGTGCTCATGCCCTGCGGCTACGACCTGCCGCGCACCATCGAAGACGGCCGCGCGCTGCTCGCCGATCCGGCCTGGGGCGAGCTCCGTGCCGTGCGGGCCGGTGCGGTCTACGCCACCGACGGCAATGCCTATTTCAATCGGCCGGGGCCGAGGCTCGTGGAGTCCCTGGAGATCCTGGCCGAAATCCTCCATCCGGCGCACTTCGGCTTCGGCCACGAAGGCACCGGGTGGAACCGCCTGAAAGCGTGAGGTGCGATGCAAGACCAGAAGATTCCCACGACCGTGATCACCGGCTTCCTCGGCGCCGGCAAGACCAGCCTCATCCGCCACGCGCTGAGCGAAGCGAACGGGCGGCGCATCGCGCTCATCATCAACGAGTTCGGCGACCTCGGCATCGACCAGGAGGTGCTGCAGGGATGCGGCGATACGGCCTGCGACGAAACCGATATCGTCGAGCTCGCCAACGGCTGCATCTGCTGCACCGTCGCCGACGACTTCGTGCCGGCGATCGAGGCGTTGCTCGCCCGCGACCCCGCGCCCGAGCACATCCTGATCGAGACCTCGGGCCTTGCGCTCCCCAAACCCCTGGTCGCCGCCTTCAACTGGCCCGAGATCCGCACCCGGCTCACCGTCGACGGCGTGGTCGCGGTGGTGGACGGCCCGGCGCTGGCGGAAGGCCGCTTCGCCGACGACGAAGACGCGCTCCAGGCCCAGCGCGAGGCGGACGAGGCGCTGGATCACGAGTCGCCGCTGGCCGAGGTGTTCGAGGACCAGATCGGCTGCGCCGACATGGTGATCCTCAACAAGTCAGACCTGCTGGCTGCCGGCGGCGCCGAGCAAGGCGAAGCGCTTATGCAGCCGCACTTGAAGCCGGGTGCCCGCATCGTCAAGGCGGCCCACGGGCGCGTGCCGCCGACCTCCTGCTGGGCCTCGATGCCGCTGCCGAGGCCGATCTCGCGAGCCGCCGCTCGCACCACGACGACCTCGACGAGCCGCACGACCACGATGAGTTCGAGAGCTTCGTGATGGCGCCCGGCACCATCGACGACCCGGCGGCCTTCGCGGAGCGCTTGAGCGCCGCGGCGGCCGCGCACGGTGTGCTGCGCGCCAAGGGTTCCTCGATGTGGCCGGCCGCAGGCGGCGATTGGTGGTGCAGGCGGTCGGCACCCGCGTCGACCGCCACTTCGACCGCGACTGGCACGCGCACGAGGCGCGGGAGAGCCGCCTCGTCGTGATCGGCCTCGCGCCGCTCGACCGGGCGGCCGTCGAAGCCGCAATCCTCGGCTAACGGGGCCCAAGCCTTGCACCTGCTCGCCGCGCAGCCGGGCGCCATCGAGGACGGCGCCGACGCCGTGGACCTCGGCCAGTCGCCGGGGGATATCGTGCTGCTCTCCGCCGCCGATACCGAGCTCGCCTGTTTCGCCCAGGCGCATGCCGGGCTCGATGACGGTGCGCCCACGCTCCGCCTCGCGAACCTGATGCAGCTCGGCCATAACCTCTCGGTCGACCGTTACGCCGACAGGTGATCGCCGGTGCGCGGCTGGTGATCGTGCGGCTGCTCGGCGGCGAGAGCTACTGGCCCTATGGCGTCGAGCGTCTGACCGACGTCTGCGCGGCGCACGGGCATCCCCATCGCGTGGCTGCCCGGCGACGACAAACCGGATGCGGGCTCGCCGGGCGCAGCACGCTCCCGCCGGAGGCGGCGGAGACGCTTGGCGCTACTGCATCCATGGCGGCATCGACAATGCCCGGAATGCGCTCCGCTACGCGCCGCACGCTGATCGGCCGCGAGTCGGATGGCGCCCGCCCCGGCCGGTGCCGCGCGCGGGCCTCTATTGGCCGGGCGCGGCGTGCTCGCGCTCGAAGACGTGATGGCCCATTGGCGCGACGGCTCGCCGAGGCGTGCGTGGTTCTTCTATCGGGCGCTGCTGCAGGGAGGCTCGCTCGCGCCCGTGGATGCGCTGGTTGCGGCGCTCCAGGACGCAGGCCTCGACCCGCTGCCATCTTCGTCACCAGCCTGAGAGACAAGCCGGCGGCGGAGCTGATCGGCGCACTCATGCGCGCCGCAGAGCCCCGGATCGTCCTGAACGCCACGGGCTTTGCGGTCTCCCGCCCGGCGCGCCGCAGGATACCCCCTTCGCCCAGGCCGGCGTGCCGCGTGTTGCAGGCGATCTTCGCCGGTGCCACGGAGCGGCAGTGGCGGGCGCGACCCGCGGCCTCTCCCCGCGACATCGCCATGAACGTGGCGCTGCCCGAGGTCGACGGGCGGATTCTCACCCGCGCGGTCGCCTTCAAGACCGAGGCGCGCTTCGACGAGGCGACAGAGGCGCCCATGGTGGTGTCGGAGCCCAACGAGGAGCGCTGCCGCTTCGTCGCCGCACTCGCCGCCGCCTGGGTGCGCCTCGCACGTGCGGCACCGGCGGAGCGCCGGATCGCCCTGGTGCTCGCCAACTACCCCAACCGCGACGGGCGCATCGGCAACGGCGTCGGCCTCGACACGCCGGCGAGCACGGTGCGGATCATGCAGGCCCTGAAGGAAGCCGGCTACCGGGTGGAAAACGGGCCGGTGGACGGCGCGGCGCTGATGGCGCGTCTGACCGCAGGCCCCACCAACGCCGCCGATTCCCGCGCCAAACCGCCCGAGGCCACGCTCCCCCTTGCCGATTACGCACACTTTTTCAACGCGTTGCCCGCACCCGTGCAGGCAACTGTCGCCGAGCGCTGGGGCGAGCCGGAGGCAGACCCCTTCTTCCGCCAGGATGTGGGATGCTTCGCGCTCCCTGTAGTGCGCTTCGGCAACGTGGTCGTCGCGATCCAGCCGGCGCGCGGCTACAACATCGATCCTGAGAAGAGCTACCACGACCCCGACCTGCCGCCGCCGCACGGCTATCTCGCCTTCTACGCGTGGGTGCGCACGTCTTTCGATGCCCATGCGGTGGTGCACGTGGGCAAGCACGGCAATGTGGAATGGCTGCCGGGGAAGGCGCTGGCGCTTTCCGCCGAGTGCTTTCCGGAAGCCGCGCTCGGGCCGCTCCCGCACGTCTATCCCTTCATCGTGAACGACCCCGGCGAGGGCAGCCAGGCCAAGCGGCGGGGCGCTGCGGTCATCGTCGATCACCTGACGCCGCCGTTGACCCGCGCCGGCAGCCACGGCGCGCTGGAGGAGCTGGAGCGGCTGGTGGACGAGTTCTTCGACGCGGCCTCGGTCGATCCGCGCCGTTGCCCGCCCTTGAGCGCGCGCATCCTGGAGCTTGCCGCCTCCATCGGGCTCGACCAGGATTGCGGCATACACGCCACAGACGGCAGCGGCGACGCGCTCCGCAAGCTCGACGGTTATCTCTGCGAAATCAAGGAGATGCAGATCCGCGACGGTCTCCACATCTTCGGCGAAGCACCCGCGCCCGAGCGCCGCAACGAGCTTCTGCGCGCGATCGCGCGGAGCGTGCGCGGACCCGGCGCCGGCGAGGCCTCGCTGCTGCGTGCGTTGGCGGACGATCTCGCCCTCGGCATCGATCCGCTTTCGGCCCCGCTCGGCGAACCCTGGCGGGGCCCGCGGCCCCAGGCGCTCACCAACGGTGTGCCCTGGCGCAGCACCGGCGACACGGTGGAGCGGCTGGAGGGCCTCGCGGCCAGCCTGATCGCCGGCACCTATCGCCTGCCCGCCGAGTGGCGTGCGAGCACCGCCGTGCTGCACGAAGTAACCGAGACCATCGGCCCTGCGCTGGACGCGAGCGCCGACGCCGAGACGGCCGGCCTGCTCACAGCCCTCGACGGCCGCTTCGTGGCGCCCGGTGCCGCCGGCGCACCCACGCGCGGCCGCCCGGACGTGCTGCCGACGGGGCCGGAACTTCTATTCGGTGGACACACGCCAGGTGCCGACCGCTGCGGCGTGGCAGCTGGGATGGGCCTCGGCCCAGCTCCTGGTGGAGCACTACGCCCAGACCCACGGCGACTGGCCGCGGGCGATGGCGCTCAGCGCCTGGGGCACGTCGAACATGCGCACGGGCGGCGACGATATCGCCCAGGCGTTGGCGCTCATCGGCGCGCGACCGCGTTGGGAAGGCCCGTCGGGCCGGGTTACCGGCTTCGAGATCATGCCGCTCGACCTGCTCGACCGGCCCAGGGTCGATGTGACGCTCCGGGTCTCGGGCTTCTTCCGCGACGCCTTTCCGGGCCTGATCGACCTCTTCGATTCCGCGGTGCGCGCGGTCGCGGCTCTCGACGAGGGCGCGGACGACAACCCGCTCGCCGCCAAGGTCGCCGCCGACGCGGCCCAGCTGGCCGAAGACGGCGCGCCCGAGGGCCGGGCTCGGCGCCTGGCCTCGTACCGCGTCTTCGGCTCGAAGCCCGGCGCCTACGGTGCCGGCCTGCAGGCACTGATCGACGAGCGCGGCTGGACGGACGCCAGCGACCTCGCCCAGGCCTACGTTGCCTGGGGCGGCTGGGCCTACGGCGCGGGCGAAGGGGGTGCCGCGGAGCACGCGCTCTTCGAACGCCGCCTCGGCGCGGTCGAGGCGGTGGTACAGAACCAGGACAACCGCGAGCACGACCTCTTGGACAGCGACGACTACTACCAATTCGAGGGCGGGCTTGCGGCGGCGGTGACGGTTCACGCGGGCCGGGCGCCGGCGCTCTACCACAACGACCACTCGGTGCCCGACAACCCCCGCATCCGCACGCTTGCCGATGAACTCGGCCGCGTGGTCCGCGCGCGCGTGACCAACCCGAAGTGGATCGCAGGCGTCATGCGGCACGGCTACAAGGGCGCCTTCGAGATCGCGGCGACGGTGGACTACCTCTTCGCCTTCGCCGCCACCACCGGTGCCGTGAAGGACCATCACTTCGACGCGGTGTTCGACGCCTATGTGGCGGACGAGGCGGTGCGTGACTTCATGGAAGACGCGAACCCGGCGGCGCTGCGCGAGCTTGCCGAGCGGCTGCTGGAGGCGCAGGAACGCAGCCTCTGGCGGCCCCGCGCGAACCATGCCCATGCCCTGCTCGCGGCGCTCCGCGACGGCAGGCAGGAGGCACTCTGATGGCGAACGAGACCGAGGCCGAGCTCGACCGGCGCCATGCCGAGAAGATGCGCAAGCGCAAGGCGGCGCGCGAGCGCATGCTGGCCACCAAGACCATCGAGAAGGGCCTCCTGATCGTCCACACCGGTAAGGGCAAGGGCAAGTCGACCGCTGCCTTCGGCCTCGCGGCACGTGCCATCGGCAACGGCATGAAGGTGGGCGTGGTGCAGTTCGTGAAGGGCAAGTGGGCGACCGGCGAGCGTACGGTGCTGGAGCGCTTCCCCGACCTCATCACGGTCCGCGTGATGGGCGAGGGCTTCACCTGGGACACGCAGGACCGTCAACGCGACCTCACTGCTGCGCGCAAGGCGTGGGAGGCGGCGCAAGAATTCCTCGCCGACCCTTCCTATCGCCTCGTGGTGCTCGACGAGCTCAACATCGTGCTCCGCTACGACTATCTCGATCTGGACGCCGTGCTTGCGGGGCTCGCCGCGCGCGATCCGGGCCAGCACGTTGTGGTCACCGGCCGCAACGCGAAGCCGGCGCTCATCGAGATGGCCGACCTCGTGACCGAGATGACCGAGATCAAGCATCCCTTCCGCGCCGGCGTGAAGGCGCAGGTGGGCATCGAATTCTGATGGCCGCGTCCGCCGCCCAAAGGCCTCCGGCCTTGATGTTTCAGGGCACCGGCTCCAACGTCGGCAAGTCCCTGCTCGTCGCGGGCCTCTGCCGCGCCTATGCGGCGCGCGGGCTCCAGGTGCGCCCCTTCAAGCCGCAGAAACATGTCCAACAACGCCGCGGTCGCGGGCGACGGGCGCGAGATCGGCCGCGCCCAGGCGCTGCAGGCCCGTGCCGCCGGCATCGAACCCTGCGTCCACATGAACCCGGTGCTGCTCAAGCCCGAGAGCGAGCACGGCGCCCAGGTGGTGGTGCAGGGCACCGTGACCGGCACGGCCGATGCGCGCCGCTACCACGCGCTCAAGGCCGCGCTGATGCCGCGCGTGCTGGAGAGTTTCGGGCGGCTCGGGCAAGAGGCCGACCTGATCCTGGTGGAAGGCGCGGGCAGCCCGGCCGAGGTCAACCTGCGGGAGAACGACATCGCCAACATGGGCTTCGCCCTGGCCGCCCGGGTGCCCGTGGCGCTGGTGGGGGATGTGGACCGGGGCGGCGTGATCGCGAGCCTGGTCGGCACCTGGGCGCTGCTGCCGGCGCCCGGAGCGCGCGCTCACCAAGGGTTTCGTCATCAACAAGTTCCGCGGCGATGCCACGCTCTTCGACGGCGCCAATACGGTCATAGAGCGGGAGACCGGGTGGGCGGCGCTCGGCCTCGTGCCCTGGTTCGAGGCAGCCCGGCTGCTGCCCGCCGAGGACAGCGTGAGCCTGGATTCCACGCCGGCGATGCCCGCAGCCTCGACCGGCCGCGCGATCAAGATCGCCGTCCCCCGCCTGCCGCGCATCTCGAACACCGACGACCTCGACCCGCTCCGCGCCGAGCCCGATACCGTGCTCGACCTCGTGCCGCCGGGCCGCGCGCTGCCGGGGGACGCCGACCTCGTGCTGCTGCCGGGGAGCAAGGCAACCCGCAGCGACCTCGAGGCGCTGCACCGCGAGGGCTGGGCGCTCGACATTCAGGCCCACGTGCGGCGCGGCGGCTGGGTGGTGGGCCTCTGCGGCGGCTACCAGATGCTGGGCCACCGCGTCGCCGACCCGGCCGGCATCGAGGGGCCGCCGGGGGAGACACCGGGGCTCGGCCTGCTCGATGTCGAGACGGTGATGAGCGAGGGCAAGCGCCTCGTCCGTGCATCGGGCCACGCGCGCGAAGGTGGCGAGGCGGTCTCGGGCTACGAGATGCATATGGGGGAGACCACGGGGCCGGACACGGCGCGGCCGTTGGTCACCCTTGCAAGCGGGCCGGACGGTGCACGCTCGGGCAACGGCCGGGTCATGGGCTGCTATCTGCACGGGCTCTTCGCCGCCGACGGCTTCCGCCGCGCCTTCCTCGGCCGGCTGCGGCGGCGGGAGACGGCCGGCATCGCCTACGACGCCCTGGTGGAGCAGACCCTCGACGCCCTCGCCGCCCATCTCGAGCCCATCTCGACCTCGACCGCCTGCTTGAGGTGGCCCGTGCGCGCTGAGCCTCGGCTACGACCCGCTGAGCGCCGTCCCGGCAGCGATGGCGGCGGTGAGCACCGCCACCAGCGCGCAGGCCGCCGCGAAGACCCAGACCGTGCGCCGCACGTCATCCGCCGTCGCGTCGTTTGCGGCCGTCGCCGAGCCAGCCTCGTCGGCCGCCGCTTCGCCCTCGTAGTGGCGGGGGCCCAGCAGGGCGAGGCCGAGCGCGCCGGCCATCGCGGCCTCCGGCCAGCCGGCGTTTGGCGAGCTGTGCCGGGGGGCGTCGCGCACCATGGTGCGCCACGCTTGGCCCGGCGCGGCACCGGGGAACGGCGAGCGCCGCCGCCGCGATCAGCCCGCCCGCGATGCGCGCCGGCACCCAGTTCACCGCATCGTCGATGCGCGCCGCCGCCCGGCCGAAGGCACTGGTGGCGGGGCGAGCGGTGGCCGATCATGCTGTCCATCGTGTTGATCGCCTTGTAGGCGAGCAGCCCCGGCAAGCCGAGCAGCAGATACCAGAAGGCCGGCGCGACCACGCCGTCGGAATAGTTCTCGGCGCCGCTCTCGATCGCCGCGCGGGCGATGCCGTACTCATCGAGGGCGCGCACGTCGCGGCCGACGATATGGCGCACCGCCGCGCGCGCGGGGTCTGCCCCGGTATCGAGCGCGCGCGCCACCCGCACCATGTGATCGGCCATGGTGCGCTGCGCGAGCAGCATCGTCACCAACGCGAGCTCGGCGAGCCAGCCCCAACCGAGAGCGGACGCTTGGTCGGCGATGAGCCAGCCGGCGGCGGCGCTCACACCCGCGACCAGCAGCACCGCGACCGCGCCGAACGCAACACGGATGACCGCGCCGTGGCGCTCCCGATTGAGTGTGCGATCGAGGAGACCGGTGAGCCAACCCATCAGGCGGATGGGGTGCGGGAGCCAGCGCGGGTCGCCGATAAGCGCGTCGAGCGCGAGGGCGATCAGGAGGACGAACGGCACCCCCGGGCCGACCGGCCAGTCGGGCGCGGCGAAGAGGAGCATCGGCCCACAATGAAAAGCCCACGCAATGCGGTCAATGGACGGAATGGAGGCGGGCGATGAGCGAGCCGGCGGTGCTTCTCTGCGGCCACGGCAGCCGTGACAACGCGGCGGTCGCGGAGTTCGAGCGCCTGGCTGCCGTGGTCGCCGCGCGCCTGCCGGCGCGACGGGTGAGCCACGGCTTCCTCGAATTCGCGCGGCCCACCATCGGCAGCACGCTGGAGGCGCTGCGCGAGTCGGGTGCCAGCGCCATCGACGCCGTGCCCGGCATGCTCTTCGCCGCCGGCCACGCCAAGAACGACATCCCCTCGGTGCTCAACGGCTTCGCCGCCGCCAATCCAGGCCTGAGGGTCCGTTACGGGCGCGATCTCGCGGTCGATCCGCTGCTGCTGCGGGCTGCGGCGGAACGTATCGAGGCCGCCCAGGAGCCCGGCGATGCCGCGCTGGCCGACAGCCTCCTCGTCGTGGTGGGGCGCGGCACCTCCGACCCCGATGCCAACAGCAACATCGCCAAGGTCACCCGCATGCTGTGGGAAGGCCTGGGCTTCGGCTGGGCGGAGACCTGCTACAGCGGCGTCACCACGCCCCTGGTCGGCCCGGCGCTGGAGCGGATCGCGGGCTTCGGCTTCAAGCGTATCGTCGTCTTCCCCTACTTCCTCTTCACCGGCGTGCTGGTGCGGCGCATCTACGACGCGGTGGATGCCGCCGCCCGCGCCCATCCCGACATCGCCTTCCGCAAGGCCGCCTACCTCAACGACCACCCGCTGGTGGTGGACGCCTTCCTCGCGCGGATCGCCGAGATCCCGAAGGCGACAACCGCATGAACTGCCAGCTCTGCAAGTATCGCGAGCAGATCATCGGCCATGAGGGTGACCTCGGCGCGCCCCAGGTCGGCCACCACCACCATGTCGAGGGCATCGGCACCGATGCGGACCGCGCCGGCGGCCACGGCACGATCACCACCACGAACACGACCATGGAACGGACGGACATGGCGGCCACCACCGCGGCTGACTATCTGCGCGACCCGAAGGGATCACGCGGCGCTCCTTCGCCATCATCCGGCGGGAGACCGACGTGAGCACCCTGCCGGCGGGCCTGGTGGATGTCGCCTACCGCATGGTGCACGCTCCGGCATGACCGATCTGGTCGAGGACCTGGCGTGGTCGGCTGACGTGGCGGAGACGGCGCGCGCTGCGCTCGCCGCAGGCGCCCCCATCCTCGCCGATTGCCAGATGGTGGCCTCCGGCATCTCCCGCAGCAGGTTCGCGGCGGGCAACGCGGTGATCTGCACGCTGGCCGCGCCGGGCCTCGCCGAGCGCGCGGCATCCGCCCGGACCACGCGCTCAGCGGCAGCCGTGGACCTCTGGCGGCCGCAGCTTGCGGGCGTGGTTTGCGTGATCGGCAATGCGCCCACCGCGCTCTTTCGCCTGCTGGAGCTGCTGGCAGACGGCGCGCCCCGGCCTGAGGCGATCATCGCGACGCCCCCCGGCTTCGTCGGCGCCAGCGAGGCCAAGGCGGCGCTCGCGAGCGGGGGCCACGGCGTGCCCTTCCTCACCCTGCTGGGCCGGCGGGGCGGCAGCGCTGTCGCCGCAGCAGCGGTGAACGCGTTGGCCGTGCCCCCGGATCGCGAGGACACCCCATGAGCGGCTGGCTCACCGTCATCGGCCTCGGCGAGGACGGGCCGGATGCGCTCGCGCCCGCGGCCCGGGCGCTGATCGAGCAGGCGGAGGTGCTGGTCGGCGGCGAGCGCCATCTCGCGATGATCCCGGATGGCGATGCCCGCCGAATGACATGGCGCCGCCCGCTGGCGGAGACCATGGACGATATCCGCGCCTTGCAGGGCCAGCGCGTCGTCGTGCTCGCGACCGGCGATCCCTTCTGCTTCGGGATCGGCACGATGCTCCGGCGCGCCTTCCCCGACGAGGAGATGGTGACGATCCCGGCACCATCCGCCTTCAGCCTCGCGCGCGCCCGGCTCGGCTGGAGCGCGGACGAGGTGGTGGGCGTGACGCTGCACGGGCGCCCGCTTGAGACCATCCGCGCCTTCCTCGCGCCCGGCCAGCGCCTGCTGGTCCTCTCCCACGACGGCGCAACGCCGGCCGCAGTGGCAGCGGAGCTTACGGCCGTCGGCTACGGCGCGAGTTCGCTCACCGTCTTCGCCCACATGGGCGGCAGCGACGAGGCCTGCGTGAGCGAACGCGCCGACCGTTGGCGCGCGGTACGGGTACCCGACCTCAACACCATCGCCATCGAATGCCGCGCGGAAGGCCGCGTGAAGCGCTTTCGCGGCGCACCGGGCCTGCCGGACCGCGCATTCGAGAACGATGGGCAGCTGACAAAGCGCGAAATCCGGGTGCAGACCGTGAGCGCGCTGGACCCGCGGCCGGGCGCCCTGCTCTGGGACGTGGGCGCGGGCTCGGGCTCGGTGGCGATCGAGTGGCTCCTGAGCGAGCGGACATGCGCCGCCATCGCGGTCGAGCGCGAGGCGGACCGCTGCGCCCGGATCGCCCGCAACGCCGCGGCCCTGGGCGTGCCGCGCCTCAAGGTCCAGCAGGGCGCGGCACCGGAGGCGCTGGAGCTCTTGCCGGTGCCGGGCGCGGTCTTCATCGGGGGCGGGCTCTCGCTCCCCGGCCTGATCGAGACCTGCTGGGCGAGGCTCGCGCCGGGCGGCGTGCTGGTGGCCAACGCCGTCACCGTGGCCGGCGAGGCGATCCTCGCAGACTGGTGCGCGCGCCACGAGGGCACCATGACACGCCTCGCGGTCTCCCGCGCGAGACCCGTGGGCCGCCACCTCGCCTGGCGCCCGCTGATGCCGGTGACCCAACTCACGCTCGTCAAGACAGAATGACCGGCCTGCTCAGCGGTATCGGCGTCGGCCCCGGCGACCCCGATCTGATCACGCTCAAGGCGCTGAAGGCGCTCCGCCGCGCCCAGGTGGTCGCCTATCCCGCGCCGCCGGAGGGCGAGAGCCTCGCCCGCAGCATCGCCGCGCCCCATCTCCCCGGCGGGCAGGAGGAAATCGCAATCCGCATGCCGCTGGAGCCCAGCCGCTTCCCGGCGGCGGAGGTCTATGACGACGCGGCGGCGGCGCTCGGCGCGCGGCTCGACGAGGGGCGCGACGTCGCGGTGCTCTGTGAGGGCGACCCCTTCGTCTACGGCTCCTTCCTCTATCTCTTCGAGCGTCTGGCGGCGCACCACCGGGTGGAGGTGATCCCTGGCGTCTCCTCGCCCATGGCCTGCGCTGCGGCGCTCGGCCTGCCGCTGGCGGCCCGCAACGACGTGCTGGCGGTGATCCCGGCCCTCTCGATGCCCAGCGGCTCACCGCCCAGCTCGCCAACTGCGATGCGGCTGCGATCGTCAAGGTAGGCCGTCATCTGGAGAAGGTGCGCCGTGTGCTGACGACCTCGGCCTGCTGGAGCGCGCGCACTATGTCGAGCGCGCCTCCATGGCGGCAGAGCGGACTCTGCCGCTGGCCGCGGTCGAGCCGCCGGCGCCCTACTTCTCCATGATCATCGTCCACAAGCGAGGCGCGGCGTGGCGCTGAGCGGGGCCGCGGTGGTGATCCTGGACCGGCGCCAGGTGGCGCTTGCGCGGCGCATCAAGGCGGCGCTTCCCGGCGCGGCGATCCACGGCCCTGCGTCCCTCGAAGGCGACGCCGATGTCACTTACGAGCGCCTCGCGTCCCATCTCCCCGCCCTCTTCCGCAGAGGGACGCCGATCGTCGGCATCTGCGCCGCCGGTATTCTCATTCGCCTCCTCGCGCCGCATCTCGCGGATAAGAGCGCCGAGCCGCCGGTGATCGCGGTCTCGGAGGACGGCCAGAGCGTCGTACCCCTGCTGGGCGGCCATCACGGCGCGAACCGGCTCAGCCGTACCATCGCGGTGGCCCTCGGCGCCCGCGCTGCGATCACCACTGCAGGCGATACGGCACTGGGTTTCGCCCTAGACGCGCCGCCCCCCGGCTGGCGCCTCGGCGAGGGTGCCCTGGTGAAGGAAGTCACCGCCGCGCTGCTCGCGGGCGAGCCGGTGCGCCTCGTGACCGAGGCCGCCTCGGCCGACTGGCTGACGGCAGGCGGCGCGCCGTTCGGGGACTGGGGCCGCCTCACCCTCCGCATCACAGACCGGAGCGTGGTGCCGGGCGACGATGTGGCCGATGTCACGCTGCATCCCGCCGTCTTGGCCCTCGGCCTCGGCTGCGAGCGGGGCTGCGCGCCGAAGGAGCTCATCCTTCTGGCCAAACGCGTGCTCGTGGCAGGCGGGCTTGCGCCGGAGGCCGTGGCCTGCGTCGCCTCCCTCGACCTGAAGGCGGACGAGCCGGCGGTGAGCGCCGTCGCAGCGTGGCTCGGCGTGCCGCTCCGCCTCTTCGACGCCGCGACCCTGGAACGCGAGACCCCGAGGCTCACGGCGCCGTCGGAGGTCGTGTTCCGCGCCGTCGGCTGCCACGGCGTGGCGGAGGCCGCGGCATTGGCCTGCGCAGGCGCTGAGGGCACGCTCGCCATGCCCAAGGCACGGAGCGAACGGGGCACCTGTGCCATCGCCAGGGCGCCCGCGATCATCGAGCCCGAGCGCTGCGGGCGCGGGCGCGGGCGCGTCACGGTGGTGGGCATCGGCCCCGGCGCTCAGGCGTGGCGGACGCCGGGCGCCGACGCCGCCATCGCCGGCGCCACCGACCTCGTGGGCTACGGCCGCTATCTCGACCTGCTCGGGCCGCCCCCGCCGGGCTGTGCGCGCCACGCCTACCCCATCGGCGCGGAGGAGGAGCGCGCACGCGCCGCGCTCGCGCTCGCGGCAGAAGGGCGCCGCGTCGCCTTGGTCTCCTCGGGCGATGCCGGCGTCTACGGCATGGCCTCGCTGCTCTTCGAGCTGTTGGACGGCGAGGCCGGCAACCAGGGCTGGCGCGGCATCGAGCTTGCCGTGGAGCCCGGCATCAGCGCGCTGCAGGCCGCCGCCGCCCGCGCCGGCGCGCCCATCGGCCACGATTTCTGCGCCATCTCGCTCTCCGACCTGCTGACGCCCTGGCCGGTGATCGCGCGGAGGCTCCGGGCCGCTGCCGAGGCCGACTTCGTGGTGGCGCTCTACAACCCCGCGTCAAGGCAGCGCCGCAGCCGGCTCGCAGAGGCGCGGAATATCCTCGCCACCCACCGGCGGCTCGACTGCCCCGTGGTCGTCGCCCGCAATCTCGGGCGGGAGGGCGAGCGCGTCGACGTCACCACCCTCGCCGGTTTCGATGCAAAGGCTGTCGACATGCTCACCGTCATCGTCGTCGGCAACAGCCAGACCCGGCGGCTGGAGTGGGACGGGCGGGCGTGGCTCTACACGCCGCGCGGCTATGCGCCCGGCACCGCGGCGAAGCCTTGCGCGACGAAGAGCGCGTGACGGTCCACTTCATCGGCGCCGGCCCCGGTGCTGTGGACCTGATCACCGTGCGGGGGCTCAACCTGCTGCGGCGCTGCCCCGTCGTGCTCTATGCGGGCTCGCTGGTGCCGCCGATGATCCTCGCGGAAGCCCCGGCGGGTGCGCGCATCGTCGATACCGCACCGCTCGATCTCGACGCGATTATGGCCGAGATGGAGCAGGCGGCGGTCGAGGGCCACGAGGTCGCACGGCTGCATTCCGGCGATCCCTCCCTCTATGGCGCTATCGCCGAGCAGATGCGCCGCCTCGACCGGCTCGGCATCCCCTACGACGTGACCCCCGGCGTGCCCGCCTATGCGGCGGCGGCGGCGGCGCTCAAACAGGAACTGACGCTCCCCGGTATCGCCCAGACCGTGATCCTGACGCGGACCGCCGTGCGCGCCTCATCCATGCCCGACGACGAGCGGCTGGAGCACCTCGCCGCTGCCGGCGGCACGCTCGCCATCCACCTCTCGATCAACAACCTCGCGAAGGTGACGCGCACGCTGATCCCGCACCGCGGGGCGGACTGCCCCACGTCGTCGCCTACCGCGTGAGCTGGCCCGACGAGCGGATCGTGCGCGGCACCCTCGGCACCATCAGGGACAAGGTGAAGGCCTTGGGGCTGACGCGGACGGCGTTGATCCTCGTCGGCCGGGCGCTCGACGCGTCCGACTTCGACGAGAGCCACCTCTACGACCCGACGCATCACCACGTGCTGCGCCCGCGCCGCAAGGCGTAAGCCCGAGGCGCCGCGCGCTATCGATCCAGATGCTGCGCGATCCAGGCGAGGGCGATCCTCGATCGAGGACGCGCACAGGCCGGGCGGCGGCGGCGGGCGGCGCACCATCACCACCGGCAACCCGAGCGCCCGCGCCGCCGCGAGCTTTGCCACGGTCGCATCGCCGCCGCTCGCGCGGGTGACCAGGCAATCGATGCCGTGGGCCTCAAGCAGCGCGCGCTCGTCCGCCTCCGCGAAGGGCCCGCGGGCGCAGATCAGCCGGTGTTGCGCGAGAGGAATCGGCTCAGCCGGCTCGTCCACCAGCCGCACCAGAAACCAGAGGTCCGGGCGCCCGGCGAAGGGCGCGAGCGAGCGGACGCCGACGGTGAGGAACACGCGCCGGGCCTCGGCCGGGATCGCCGCCGCAGCCTCCTCCACCGTGTCGACGTCGATCCAGCGATCGCCGGGCAGCGGACGCCAGGGCGGGCGTACGATCACGAGCCGCGCCGCACCGGCCTCTCTCGCCGCGTCGCGCGCCTGGGCCGAGATCCGCGTGGCAAAGGGATGGGTGGCATCGATCAGGAGGCCGATCCGCTCTTCCCTGAGATAGGACGCGAGTCCCTCCGCCCCGCCGAAGCCGCCGATGCGGACAGGGCCGGCGGGCAGGAGCGGTGCGCGGGTGCGGCCGGCGAGCGCCGAAATCACCGTGAGAGTGGGCCGAAGCGCCTCTCGGCCGCCGTGGCGAGGGCACGGCCCTCGGTCGTGCCGCCCAGGATCAGAAGCCGCGGCGGCTGCTCAGGGGCCGGCGCGGCCAACGATGCAGCCTGTACGGTCGACGATGAGCACGTCCACTTGGGGCTGAAGCCGCGCGCGGCGAGCGCGGCCTCGGCCGCAGCACGAGCCTCCGCGGCGACCGCGTCGGCGAGGGGAAGTCCGGCCTCGGTCGCAATCTCGAGGATCGCGGCCGCCGATCCGGCGGCCCGTGCCTCGGCCAGCGTCGCGACCGGAGCGCCGAGGGCGGCGAGGCGGCGGATCAGCCCCGTGCGGTCGACGCTGCTGCGCGCGGAATGAAGGTCCATGTGGCCGTCGGCGAGCTTGCTGATCTTGCCGAATCCGCCGGCGATGGTGAGCCGCGGCACCGGCTTGCGCCGGATCAGCTTCAGGTGGCGCCGGCGAAATCGCCCATGTCGATCAGCGCGCTCTCGTCGAGGCCGTAGAGCGCCCGCGCCGCCTCCTCCGAGACGCGGCCCGTCGCCGCCGCGAGGTGGGTGGCGCCGGTCGCGGCAGCCACATCGATCCCCTGGCGGATCGAGGCGATCCATGCGGCGCAGGAATAGGGCTTCACGATGCCCGACGTGCCCAGCACCGAAAGGCCGCCCACGATGCCGAGGCGGCCGTTCATCGTGCGCTGCGCGAGGCGGCGGCCGTCCGGAATGCCGATGGTGACGCAAACATCGGCCGGCCCGCCGAGTGCAGGCGCGAGCTCGTTCAGCATCGCCGCGATCATCTTGCGCGGCGCCGGATTGATCGCGGGCTCGCCCACGGCGAGGCTGAGGCCGGGCCGCGTCACGATGCCGACCCCCTCGCCCGCCCGGAACACGATGCCGGCGCCAGGCGGCGCGGGCCTCACCCAGGATTCGACCAGCGCGCCGTGGGTCACGTCGGGGTCGTCGCCGGCATCCTTGCGCACGGCGGCGCGCCCGTGGCTCCGGTCGCGCACGGCGAGAACCAGCGGGAAAGAGGGCGTCTCGCCACCCGGCAGCGTGACCGAAACCGGATCGGGGAAGCGCCCGGTGACCAGCGCCGTGTAGGCGGCCCGCGTCGCAGCCGCGGCGCAGGCGCCGGTGGTCCAGCCCCGCCTAAGCTCGCCGGCTCTCCCTGAGCGTGCTGTCATCCCGCCGCTTATACCGCGCGGGACGCCTACCGGTGTAGAGTGCGGCGATGGACGATGCGTCGCCGCCCCCCCGCTTGCCAGCCCTGCCCGCGATCGAGCCCGGATCCGTGTGGCTCGTGGGCGCCGGGCCGGGCGATCCGGGGCTGCTCACGCTCCACGCGGCGAATGCGCTCAGCCAGGCCGATTGCGTGGTCTACGACGCCCTGGTCTCGCCGGAAATCCTGGCGCTCGCCCGGCCGGGTGCTGCGCTCGAATATGCCGGCAAGCGGGGCGGCAAGCCGTCTGCGCGCCAGCCTGACATCTGCGGGCGCCTGATACGGCTCGCCCGACAGGGGCTTCGCGTGCTGCGCCTCAAGGGGGGCGATCCCTTCGTCTTCGGCCGCGGCGGCGAGGAGGCGCTTGCGCTCGCCGCAGACCGCATCCCCTTCCGCCTGGTGCCGGGGGTCACCGCTGCCGCCGGCGGCCTGGCTGCGGCCGGCATCCCCATGACCCACCGCACGACCAACTCGGCGGTGACGCTGCTCACCGGCCACGATGCCCCGCGGCGCCGTGCCGGACGGGCTCGACTGGCAGGCCATCGCCCAAGGCGCGCCAGTGCTGATCTTCTACATGGCGCTCCGTCAACTGGATGCCATCGCCGAGCGGCTGACCCACCATGGCCTCTCGGGCGACACGCCGGTGGCGCTCATCAGCCACGCTACGACCGGGGCCGAGCGCGTGGTCGAGGCCCCGCTCGCCGAAGCGGCGGCGGCGGCCGAGCGCGCCGGCATGGAGGCGCCCTGCCTCGTGGTCGTGGGCGACGTGGTGCGGCTCAGGCGAGCGCTCGACCCGGCCGCGTCGATCGAGGCGCGGGCCGAGGCGGCCCAGGCCCTCGCCCAGCACTGGCGCCGCGCAGCGGGCTGACACAGTGCGAAGAGACCTGATTCCTTGCCGCGTGGCCCGTTCCGGGGATAGTCTGGTGCCCTGGAAAATCGCCGACCGCGCGTAGCCCGCTCATGTGGAAGGAACTCGGCAAGTTCGGCATGGGTCCGCCGTCTGGCGGCGGCGGCCAGCAGCCCGGAGGCGGCGGCCAGAGGCCTGCGTTCAGGCGCAACAACCCGTTGCTCTGGATCCTGATTATCGGCGCGGTCCTCATCTATTCGCAGTACGACGGCTCGCTGTTCGGCAATTTCGACCAGAGCCACGTCTCCCGCATGACGCTGACGCCGGAGGAAATCACCGGCGAATTCGCGCTGATCGACCACACCGGCGCGCCCCGCACCAACCAGGACTTCCTCGGCACCCACACGCTGATCTATTTCGGCTTCACTGGTGCCCCGACGTCTGCCCGAGCGCCATACTGACCATGTCGCAGGTGATCGAGGACCTGGACGCGCAGGGCACGACGGTCAAGCCGCTTTCATCACCGTCGATCCGCAGCGCGACACGGTGGAAAAGCTCGCCGCCTATGTCTCGGCGCTCGTTCCGGGGTCTGGTCGGCCTGACCGGTTCGGAGGAGGCGGTCGCCCGGGCGCTCGAGTCCTTCGGCATCTACCGGCGCTCCCACGCTACAGGGCGGAGGACCCCGACTACACCGTGGACCACGCGGCGTTCTTCTACCTCATGGGGCCGGACGGCAAGTTCATCCAGTATTACGAGCCGAGGCAGGGGCCGACCAAGCTCGCCATCGAAATCGAGCGGCAGCTGACGGGCTGACCTGAATTTGGCCTCCGCCATCATCCTCGCCGCACCGGCGTCCGGCAGCGGCAAGACCGTGCTGTGCGCCGGCCTTCTGGCGCATTTCCGTAAGGGCGGCCGTGCCGTGCGAGCCTTCAAGGCGGGGCCCGACTACATCGATCCCGGCTATCACCGCATGGCCAGCGGCCACGACTGCGTCAATCTCGACCCCTGGGGGATGCGGCCCGAGACCCTCGCGCGCCGGGTGGCGGTACTCTGCGCGGACGCGGACCTCGTCATCGGCGAGGGTGCGATGGGCCTCTTCGATGGCGCCCGCGACGGCACCGGGTCCACCGCCGACCTCGCGGCCGGCTCAGGCTCCCTGTGGTGCTGGTGGTGGACGCGCGGGGCCAGGGCGCCTCGGTGGCGGCGCTTGCCGAAGGCTTCGTCAATCACCGCCACGACGTGGCGGTCGCGGGCGTCATCCTCAACCGGGTGGCGGCGCGGCGCACGAACGGCTGCTCCGCAATGCCCTCGACGCGCGATCCATCGCGGTTCTCGGTGCCGTGCCACGGTCGGACGCGCTGAGCCTGCCGTCGCGCCATCTCGGCCTCGTGCAGGCCTGCGAGAGCGAAGGCCGTGGGTGGAGGACGCCGCGGCGGTCGTGGCGCGATCGGTCGATACGGAGGCGCTGGCAGCCCTGGCGCGCCCCTTACAGGCGGGACCGGCAGCGCCGGGCGCGGCGATCCCTCCACTCGGGCAGAGGATCGCGGTGGCACGCGATGAGGCTTTCGGCTTCTGCTACGACGCGCTGATGGAGGACTGGCGGAACGCAGGTGCGACGGTGGTGCCGTTCTCACCGCTTGCGGACGAGGCGCCCGATGCGGAGGCCGACGCGGTCTACCTGCCGGGCGGCTATCCCGAGCTTCATGCGGGCCGCATCGCCGGCGCCCAGCGCTTTCTCGCCGGGCTGCGGGCCGCGACTGGGCACGGCGCGGTCCTCTTCGGCGAGTGCGGCGGCTACATGGTGCTGGGCCGGGGCCTGATCGACGCCGACGGCCACCGCCACGGCATGGCGGGGCTATTGCCGCTCGAGACGAGCTTTCAGGAGCGCCGGCTCGCGCTCGGCTACCGGCAGGCGCGCCTCGCTGCGGACGGCCCCCTTGGCAAGGCAGGGACGGCCTATTGCGGCCACGAATTCCACTATTGCCGCGTGGTGGCGGAGGATGCCGGGCGGCCCCTGTTCGAGACCTGCGACGCAACCGGCGCGCCGCTCGGCGACGCCGGCATGACCGCCGGCATGGTCTCGGGCTCCTTCATCCACCTCATCGACCGGGCCTGAAATAGGCGGACGCGCTTACCGAAGCGCCTCCACCATGAAGCGCCGCCAGATTTCGGCCGGATAGCCGCCGCCGGTGACCTCATCCATCGCGCTGCCGTCGTCGTTGCCGAGCCAGACGCCTGCAGCGAGCCCGCCGGCCCAGCCGACAAACCACGCATCGCGGAACTTCTGGCTGGTGCCGGTCTTGCCGTAAGCCGGCCCCAGCCCCTGCGGGAGCCGGGCGGCGCGGCCGGTGCCTTGGGCGACGGCGGCTCCGAGCAGGTCGTGCATCGCCGCCACCGCCGCGCCATCCGCTGCACGGCCGGCGCCCGAGCCCGCGCGGCGATAAAGCACATCTCCCGCGCGGTTGCGGATCTCGACGATGCCGTGGGGAAGCGCGCGCGCACCCCCGTTGGCGAGCGCCACGTAGGCCGAGGTCAGCTCAAGCAAGGTGACCTCGCCGGTGCCGAGCGCGATGCTCGCATCGGCGGGGAGCGTGCTCTCAATCCCGAGCCGTCGCGCCGTCTCGTGCACCCGATTCACGCCCGCACGTAAGCCCACACGCACGGCCACGCTGTTGATCGAGCGGGCAAAGCCCTCGCGCACCGTCACCGGCCCCCGGTACTCACCGTCATAGTTGCGGGGCGACCATCCGGCGACGGTGATGGGCGCGTCCTCGATCGTGTCGTCAGGCTGAAGCCCCGCCTCGATGGCGGCGAGATAGACCACCGTCTTGAAGGCCGAGCCTGGCTGCCGCCTCGCCTGCGTCGCCCGGTTGAACACGCTCTTGGAATAGTCGCGCCCGCCGACCATGGCGCGCACGGCGCCCGTTCTCATCCAGCGCGACGAGGGCGCCCTGCCCGATCTTGCGGCTCTTGCCTTGGGCGGCGAGGGCTTCGGTGAGCGCCGCCTGCGCCGCCCTCTGACGCGCAGGATCGAGAGACGTGAACACGCGGAGCGCCCCGTGGTCGCGCCCGACGTAGCTCGGCGCCTGCTCGCGCACCCAATCGACGAAATAGCCGGCGGGAGGTCCGCTGCGCGGGGCGACGGAGAGAGTTCGCGCGCGCGCCTTGGCTGCCGTACCTTCGGCATCCGTGAGGAAGCCCGCATCCACCATCGCATCGACGACGAGACCGGCGCGCTGCCGGGCGAGCTTGAGGTCGTTGGCGGGGCTGTAGCGCGACGGCGCCTTGAGTAGGCCTGCGATCATGGCGGCTTGCGCCACATCGAGATCGCGCGCCGAGCGGCCGAAGTAGCGCCGCGCCGCCGCGTCGACGCCGTAGGCACCGGCGCCGAAGTAGGCGCGGTTGAGGTAAATCGTCAGAATTTCTTGCTTGGTGAACTCCCGCTCCAGCCAGAAGGCGAGCATCGCCTCCTGGATCTTGCGCTTGACGCTGCGCTCGGGCGAGAGGAACACGAGCTTCGCCACCTGTTGCGAGATCGTGCTGCCGCCGGCGACCACGCGGCCCTCGACGGCGTTCTGCCACGCTGCGCGGATCACGCCGAAGGCGTCGACCCCGCCGTGGGTGAAGAAGCGCCGGTCCTCGATCGCGAGAACGGCCTGGGGCAGCACCGGCGCCATCTCCTCAGCCGGGATCAGCTCGCCCCACATCTCGCCCACGGTGGCGAGCTCGGAGCCGTCCGCCGCCAACACCGTGATGGCAAGCGGCGTCTCAGGGCCCGTGAGGTGCTCGGTATCGGGCAGGTCGTGCCCGTAATAGCCGACGAATCCTGCGCCCAGCACCACGAGCCAGAGGACGAAGACCGCGCACCACTTGGCGATGCGCCAGACGCGCCTCCGTGGCCGCGGGGGCCGCGCGGGCGCGCGCGGCTTCTTGCCTCCCGTCCTCGGCTTGGTGCCGCCAGACTTCCCCTTCGTGGCGGCGGTCTTCGGCTTTGCGCCGCCCGACTTCGCTTTCGTGCCGCCGGGCTTTGCTTTTGCGCGGGGCGAAGAGCGTTTCGCTTGCGCGCGGGGCCGTTTCGGCGGGGGCGAGCGGCGTGCTGCCATAACCCCGATTAGAAGATCTGGCTAGACGTCGAGATTGACGACCTTAAGCGCGTTCTGCTGGATGAACTCGCGGCGCGGCTCGACCACCTCGCCCATGAGGGTCGAGAAGATCTCCTCCGCCTCCTGCGCCTGTTTGATCTCCACCAGCCGCAAGGTCCGCACCTCGGGGTCCAGCGTGGTCTCCCACAGCTGTTCGGGGTTCATCTCGCCGAGGCCCTTGTAACGCTGGATCGTGAGCCCCTTGCGCCCGGCCGCATAGATGGCCTCCAGCAGCGCGCTCGGCGAGTTGACCTCGGTCTCGCTCTCCTTGCGCCGCATCACGACAGGGTGGCTGTAGACCTGTTGCAGCGACGCCGCGAAGGTATCGAGACGCCGTGCCTCGGGCGTCGTGATCAGCACTTGATCGATCATGTGGCTCTCGGTCACCCCTCGCAGGGTGCGAGAGAAGTGGAACGCCGGGCCGTCGCGCGTATCCAGCACGGTGCCATGCCAGCCCCGCTCGATTTCGGGCGCGAGCTCGTCGAGCCGCCGGGCGATGTAGGCCGCTGTCGGCGCCGATCTCTCCGGATCGGTCAGGATGTCAGGTGTGAGCGCGCCGGCAATCGCCGCCTGCTCGACGATGTGGCGCGCGACGCGGCGGGTCAGCGCCTTGACCAGCGCCGCCGTATCGCGAGCGGTGTCGATGATGGCGCTCAGGTCAGCGCCTGAGCGCTCCTCGCCGTCGTGGAAGCGCAGCACCGCGTCCTCGAGGCCCGTGGCGATGAGATGGTCCTCAAGCTCGCGGTCGTCCTTCAGATAGATCTCGCTCGACCCCGCTTTACACGGTAGAGCGGGGGCTGGGCGATGTAGAGATGGCCCGCGCGGATCAACGCCTCCATGTTGCGGTAGAAGAAGGTGAGCAGCAGCGTGCGGATGTGCGAGCCGTCAACGTCAGCGTCGGTCATTATGATGATCCGGTGATAGCGGAGCTTCGCCAGATCGAAATCCTCAGAGCCGATGCCGGTGCCGAGCGCGGTGATGATGGTGCCGATCTCGGCCGATCTCAGCATCTTGTCGAGCCTCGCCCGCTCGACATTGAGGATCTTGCCGCGCAGCGGCAGCACCGCCTGGTTGCGGCGATTGCGCGCCTGCTTGGCCGAGCCCCCGGCTGAATCGCCCTCGACGAGGAAGAGCTCGCAGCGGCTCGGGTCGCGTTCCTGACAATCGGCGAGCTTGCCCGGTAGGCTCGTGACCTCGAGCGCGCTCTTGCGGCGCGTGAGGTCGCGGGCGCGGCGGGCCGCCTCGCGCGCCGCTGCCGCCTCGACCGCCTTGGCGACAACGGACTTGGCCTCCGTCGGATGCTCTTCCAGCCACTGGCCGAGACCCTCGCTGACGACCCCCTCCACCACCGGCCGGACCTCGGAGCTGACCAGCTTCTCTTTGGTCTGGGAGGAGAATTTCGGGTCGGGCACCTTGACCGAAAGGATGCAGGTGAGCCCCTCACGGGCATCATCGCCGGTGATCGACACCTTCTCCCGCTTGGCAATGCCGCTTCGGGTGGCATAGCCGTTGACGGCGCGGGTCAGCGCCGCACGAAGGCCCGCGAGGTGGCTGCCGCCATCGGACTGGCGGATGTTGTTGGTGAAGCAGAGTACCGTCTCATGATAGCTGTCGTTCCACTGCAACGCGGCGTCGACGATGATGTCGCCCCGGCGGTCCTGGATCATGATGGCGTCGCCGACCAGCGACTGCTTTGCGCGGTCGAGGTAGCCGACGAACGCCTCGATGCCGCCCTCGTAGTAGAATTCCGTGACCCGGGGCTCGGCTGCGCGCTCGTCCCTGAGTGTGATGTGCAGGCCGGCGTTGAGGAAGGCGAGCTCGCGCAGCCGGTGCTCCAGCTCGTCGAAATTGAACTCGATTTGCGAAAAAATCTGGCTTGACGGCAGGAAGGTCACGCGCGTGCCCGAGCGCTCGGCGGTCTCGCCCGTGACGCGGAGCGGCGCCTCGGGCTCACCGCCGGCGAAGCGCATGGCGTATTCCTTGCCATCTCGGCGGATACGGAGCTCCAGCCACTCCGAAAGCGCGTTCACCACCGAAACGCCGACACCGTGGAGCCCGCCAGAGACCTTGTAGGTGTTCTGGTCGAACTTTCCGCCGGCATGAAGCTTGGTCATGATGACCTCGGCGGCGGAGACGCCCTCCTCCTCGTGGATATCGGTGGGAATCCCGCGCCCGTCGTCGCTGACGGAGGCCGATCCGTCGGCGCACAGCACCACATGAATATGCTCGCAATAGCCCGCCAGCGCCTCGTCCACGGCGTTGTCGACGGTCTCGTACACCATGCGGTGCAGGCCGGAGCCGTCGTCGGTATCGCCGATGTACATGCCGGGCCGCTTGCGCACGGCATCGAGGCCGCGCAGGACCGTGATGGAGTCGGCGCCGTAGCCCTGGGTTGCGGTGGGACCGCTCGGGGCGGGATCGGCCATGGGTCCTACGCGCCTTCGACCATGCCGGGCCGCACCGTGAAGAACTGCGCGTGCTCGCCAAGGGGGCGGAAGACAGACGGTTCGGTACCGGTGAGCCACGCCTGGGCGCCGACATCGAGGATGATCTCGAAGAGTGCATGCCGGCGGCTCTCGTCGAGGTGGGCAGCGATCTCGTCGAGCAGCAACACAGGCGCGCAGCGGCGCTGGCGCTCCACGAGGCGGGCGTGGGCTGTGACGAGCGCGATCAGCATGGCCTTCTGCTCGCCGGTCGAGCACTGCTCCGCTTCCATGCCGCGCTCGCGGTCGGTGACGAGCAGGTCGCTCCGCTGCGGCCCGTCGACGGTGCCGCCTTCCGCCTCCGCGACGCGGGTCCCGGCCAAGTGCTCCCTGAAGCGATCCTCCACCGCGAGCGCAGGTGCCGACGCGAGCCAGCGCTCGACCAGCCCGTCCGCCGTGAGCGCGATCCTCGGGAAGGACTGCTTGCCGTCAGGCAGAAATTCTTCGAGCCGTATTGCCAGATCGAGACGTGCCGCGCCGATCGCCGCTGCGTTCTCCGCCATGCTGCGCTCCAGCGCACCGAGCCAGGCATCGTCGCGCGTGCCAGTGCGCAAGAGCTGGGTACGGTGGCGGCGCGCACGGTCGTAGCGCTGGACCCGCGCGGCGTGGCTGGCGTCGATGGCGAAAACCAGCCGGTCGAGGAAACGCCGCCGCTCGGCGGGCGGGCCAGAGAACAGCCGGTCCATCGAAGGCGTCAGCCAGACCATGCCGACATGCTGGGCCAAGGCGGCCGGCCCCGACGCCGTGGCACCCTCGATCCTGACCACGCGGCGTTCCGCCTCCCCCGGCTCGGCCGGCGCCCGCCAGCCGGAGCCCAACGCGGTCTCGCCGCCATCGCCGGCGAGCGTGGCCGCGACCGACCACGCCTCGGCGGGGCCTGTGTCCGGCCCGGGCTTGCGCGCGACATCGGCAAGCCGGGCGCCCCGCAGCCCCCGGCCCGGGGACAGGTAGGAGATCGCCTCCAGCAAGTTGGTCTTGCCGGCGCCGTTGGGGCCGGTGAGCACCAGGGGCCGAGCGTCCATAACAAGGCGCACCGAGCGGTAGCTGCGGAAGTCGGTCAGCGTGAGCCGGGTGAGCGCGTAGCGCGCGGCTGCCGGCGCCGGCGCCTCCCGCCCGGTCACGGCGTGTGTGGTAGGAGCGGCCACCTAGACGCGGAGCGGCATGATGACGTGGAGCGCGCCGGAATCGCCGGTGTCCCGCACCAGCGTCGGCGAGCCGGCATCGCCGAAGAAGAAGCGGATCGACTCGCTTTCAATTTGCCCTGCGACATCAAGAATATAGCGCGCGTTGAGACCGATATCGAGGGGCTCGGCGCCATAGTCGGCGTCCAGCTCTTCGGTCGCGGTTCCCGTGTCGGGGCTGTTGGCCTGCAGCGTGACCGCGCCCGAGCGGATGGAGAGCTTGATGGCATGGGAGCGGTCCGTGGAGATCGAGGAGACCCGGTCCACGGCCTCGGCGAAGCCACCGTTCGCCACGGTCAACACATTCTGGTTACCGCGCGGGATGACCCGCTCGTAGTCCGGGAACGAGCCGTCGATGAGCTTCGAGGTGAGCTGGGCCGCACCGATGTCGAAGCGGATTCTGGTCTCGGACAGCGCGATGGAGACCGGCTCGTCGCCGTCGTCGATCAGCTTGCGGACTTCCGCGACGGTCTTGCGCGGGACGATCACACTCGGCAGGTCCGCTGCCCCCTCGGCAGCGCCACGTCGGCGCAGGAGAGCCGGTGGCCATCGGTGGCGACGGCGCGCAGCCGCGCGATCCCCTCCTGGTCCTCAGCCTTATGCAGGTGGATGCCGTTGAGATAATAGCGAGTCTCCTCGGTCGAGATGGCGAACCGGGTCTTGTCGATCAGGCGCCGCAAATGATCCCGCGGCAGCTCGAAAGAATGGGGCAGCTCGCCGTCGGCCATGACCGGGAACTCGGCGATCGGGAGGCAGGAGAGGCGGAAGCGGGAGCGCCCGGAGACCACGTCGAGCTGCCCGCCGTCGCCGCTGTCGAGTTTCATCGCGACCTGCGCACCGTCCGGCAGCTTGCGGACGATGTCGTAGAGGGTGAGCGCAGTCGTGGTCACCGCACCTTCCTGCTCGACGGCGGCGTCGGCCTCGTCGACCACGGCGAGGTCCATGTCCGTCGCGGTGAGCCGCAGGCGATCGCTCCCCTGCGCATCGATGCGCACATTGGCGAGAATAGGGATCGTGTTGCGGCGTTCGACAACGCTTTGCACGTGCGCCAGGGAGCTCAGAAGCGTTGAGCGTTCGATGGTCAGCTTCATGATCGCTCGGACTCCTGAGTCGCGGTCGAATCACCTTCCATTATAGCGGAGAAGTGCCAGATTTCGCAGCACCATCGGCGCACAACCAGCCCTTAGGGCGCTGCGCCTTTCCTGCACGCCTTCACCGTGCAACCGACCGCTCGCATTCGCCGGCCGTCAGCGATTCGAGTCTTCGAGGCTTTGCCGGAGAAACTCCACGTCTTCGTCGAGAGCCGCGTCCTTGGGCCGCAACTCCTCGATGCGGCGGATCGCGTACATGACCGTGGTGTGGTCGCGTTTGCCGAACTTGCGGCCGATCTCCGGCAGCGAGCGCGACGTGAGCTGCTTGGCGAGGTACATCGCCACATGGCGCGGCCGCACCACTACCTGTGCACGCCGGTTCGACGACAACTCCGCAGGCTTGATGTTGTAGTGCGCAGCGACTCGCCGTTGGATTTCCTCAATCGTGATCCGCCGCTCCTTTACGCCAAGAACGTCGCGCAGAACCGACTGGGTCGTTTGCAGCGTTATCGCGCCTCCCAGGAGGGCGGCATGGGCGGCAATGCGATTGAGGGCCATCTCGAGCTCGCGCACGTTCGACGAGATCTGCCGGGCCAGGAACTCCAGCACCTCTCGCGGTGCATCTGCGATCCCCAGCGGCGCCGCCTTTTCACGCAGAATTCCGAGGCGAAGCTCGTAGTTTGCGGGGAGGATGTCGACGGCAAGGCCCCCTGCGAGGCGGGACCTGAGGCGCTCCCCCATCCCGTCGAGGCGAGAGGGCGAGCGGTCGCCGGAGACCACCACCTGGCAGCGATGGTCGAGAAGCGCGTTGAGCGTGTGGAGAAATTCCTCCTGCGTGCTTTCCTTGTCGCAGATGAACTGGATGTCGTCGATGAGCAGCACGTCGGCGGAGCGTAACTTTTCCTTGAACGCCACCGTGTCCTTTTGCCTGATCGCCTGGACGAACCGGTACATGAAGCGTTCGGCGGAGAGGTAGAGGACGCGCCGCCCCGGCTCGCGGCCGCGGATGCACCACGCGGTCGCGTGCAAGAGGTGGGTCTTGCCGAGGCCGACGCCGCCGTAGAGATAGAGCGGGTTGAACGGAAAGGTGGTCGACGCCCGCGACCTGTTGCGCCGCCGCGTGGGCGAGTTCGTTGGTCTCGCCGACGACGAATTCGCGGAAGGTGAAGCGGCCGTTGAGCGGCGAACCGAGATCAGCCAGCGCCCCGCCCTGTGCCCGCGCAACGTTACCGCTGCCCCGCCGGGCTGTGGGCGACTCGCCGGCCGTGCGCGGCTCGCCCTCGCCTGCCTGCGGCTGCCCCGCATGGATCACGATGCGGGCGCTCTGGACGCCGTGTCGTTCTTCGGCCCAGAGCGCCGCGATGCGATGGGCATAGCGCGAAGCGACCCAGTCGCGGAGGAAGCGCGTGCCGACGCCGAGGGTGACCTGATCACCGTCGATAGCGACCAGGATGAGCGGCGCCAGCCAGCTCGCGAAGGTGGCTTGGCCGACCTCCGCGAGAAGCCGCGCGCGCACCCTGTGCCAGGCGTCTTGCCCGTCTCGGGCCGGCGGCGGCGCGTGGTCCGTCACGGGCGGGATCCCATCCGTCGGCTGTGCGAGCCGCGTGAGCACGGCCCGTTGCGGCGGCGGGCGGCCTCCAGGCGTACGACGCAATGAGGCATCTCACGCCGTGATGACCCGCTTGTTCCGCTAATCTCCCTGTTTGATCCCATTTATGTTCTTGTATGACGTCGCGGTTGTAGGGGGCGGCGGTGGGTTTCCCTTCCCGGGCAAGCAATGCTCGCCTCGCCGTCGTCAACATCGGTGATTTCTGCTTTGCATTCCGGCGGCGGCTCCTTCCGGCGGAATGTGACAGTTAGGCTAAATTGAGGGGGCGGCGCTGGCAACGGGTATGAAAGCGGAACCGGCGAAAATTCTGGCCATTACACTTTGCGCATAGTCTTGGCTAGCGAAGTGAACGAGCGATAGCCAATCGGTTGGTGCCGCGACCGGAATCGAACGGCAGGACCGACGCTGCCGAGCCGTCAGTTCAAATAGGGAAAGGCTTCTTACCAAGATTGCAAGGGGGCGCTCCGGGCGCGGTCCGCTTGTCACTGTCGGGGCGCACCAGGCGCCCGGCCCGTGAGCGACACAGGCTGGTTAGGCACCTAGCTGTCGGGGAGCGCACCCATGCGGTGCGCGAGCGGCACAGTCGCCGCGGTTCGGTCTAGCCTTGGGGGAGTGCGCCCACGCGGCGCGCAAGCGAGCGAGACCCGGCGGGCCGCGGTTCGCCGATGCAAGAGCGCCTTCGTCGCGCCGCGCATGATCTCCGGCTGGGCCTCGCGCAACGCCTGCTCGGCCTGGCTCTTGTCGCCGCTCGCAATCGCCTCCTCGACGTGGCGGACAAAGGTGCGGATGCGAGAAAGCCGCCCGCGGTTGATCGCGGCGCGGCGCTTGTTCTGCCGGACCCGCTTGCGGGCTTGGCTCGAATGGGCCATGGACGGAGGTCTCTCTTGTAGTTGGGCGGCCTTATACCACGCCCGCCGGCGGGGTCAACGGCGCCATCGGCCCGGCACGGGCCGACCGAGGGGTACGGCGCCGCCTAACGGTTGGTGAAGGCCGGCTCGCGCTTCTCGATGAAGGCGTCCATACCTTCCCTCTTATCCTCGGTGGCAAAACTCGCGTAGAAGACCGCCCGCTCATACAGCACGCCCTCGGCCAGCGTGGTCTCGAAGGCGCGGTTGACGCTTGCCTTGGCGAGCGCGACGGTGGGCGCGGAGAAGTGCGCGATCCGCTCGGCGACGGTGATCGCCTCGTCCACGACGTCGGCGACCGGCACCACACGGCTCACGAGCCCGCTGCGCTCGGCCTCCTCGGCATTCATCATGCGCCCGGTCAGGATCATCTCCATCGCCTTCGACTTGCCGACGGCGCGGGTGAGGCGCTGGGTGCCGCCGGCGCCGGGGATGACGCCGAGCTTGATTTCCGGCTGGCCGAATTTCGCGTTGTCGCCAGCAATCGCGATGTCGCACATCATCGCGAGTTCGCAGCCGCCGCCGAGCGCATAGCCCGCGATCGCCGCGACGACCGGCTTGCGGAAGGCGGTGATGCGGTTCCACTTGGCGATGAAGTCGCTGCCGTGCGCATCCACGAAGCTCATCGACCGCATCTCAGTGATGTCGGCGCCAGCCGCAAAGGCCTTCTCGTTCCCGGTAATGACGACGGCGCCGATCTCCTCGTCCGCCTCGAAGCTGTCGAGCACGGCATTGAGCTCGTCGATCAGCGCGCCATTCAGCGCGTTCAGGGCCTTGGGCCGGTTCAGCGTGATCAGGCCGACCCGGCCGCGCCGGTCGACGGTGATGTTTTCGTACGCCATCGTGTTCTCCCTTAAGCGGCCGGGGCCCGCATTCTGGGTGGGCAGGCTGCTGCCGGCCGGGCGCCGCGAGGGGCGTGCGGCTCGCCTGATAACTCACCGTTGGCGCTTAGCGCAATAGAATGTCGAGCGCCCGCTCTGCACGATGCGACGCACCGCGGCCCCGCAGTCGCAGCCGGGGCAGGGCAGATCCGCCCGGTCGTAGACCGCGAAGCGGTGCTGAAAGTAGCCGAGCTCGCCCGACGCCTGCACATAGTCTCGGAGCGACGATCCGCCGGCTGCGATGGCCGCTTCCAGCACGTCCCGGATCGCCTGTGGCCAGCCGGTCCGCGCGCTTGCCTTGCACCGAGCCTGCGCGGCGCCTGGGGCTCAGCCCGGCGTAGAAGAGCGCCTCGCACACGTAAATGTTGCCGAGCCCGGCGATGACGCGCTGATCGAGTAGGGCGGCCTTGATCGGCGTGTCCTTGCCGGAGAGCCGCTTCGCCAGCGCCGGCCCATCGAAGTCGGCCGCGAGCGGCTCGGGCCCCATGCTGCGCAACAGCTCGTGTTCCTCGAGCCGCGCGGCCTCCGTCAGGTCCATCAATCCGAAGCGCCGATGGTCGTCGTAGCGCAGCACCGCGCCATCGTCGAAGTGCAGGACGACGTGCTCGTGCGCGCCGCCGCTCGGCGCTGTATCGATGGAGAGGCGCCCCGACATGCCGAGATGAACGATCAGCACGCTGCCACTATCGAGGTGCACCAGGAGATACTTGCCGCGCCGCCCAAAACCCTGCACCGCCCGGCCCGTGAGCGCTTGCCCCATATCCGGCGGGAGCGGGCGGCGGAGATCGGGGCGGCGCACCGTGACGTGGGTGATGCGCCGGCCGACGAGGCGCGCGGCAAGCCCGCGGCGCACGGTTTCGACCTCGGGCAATTCCGGCATCCTGCGGCTACGGTAGCGCGGGTTTTGCCGCTGGGCTATGGTCGCCGCCATGGCCTCTGCGCGCGGTGAGCACGACGCCACGGATGGCGCCGACTTCGGCTTCCGCCGCGTCGGCGAGCACGAGAAGCCGGGGCTCGTCCGCGACCTCTTCGACCGGGTCGCCGGCCGCTACGACCTGATGAACGACCTGATGAGCGGCGGCATCCATCGCCTCTGGAAGCGGGAGATGGTGGCGTGGCTCGCGCCCCGCCCCGGCATGGCCGTGCTCGATGTGGCGGGCGGCACCGGCGACATCGCCCGGCGCGTGCTGGCCGCGATGGAGGGCCAGGGCCGCGTGATCGTCTGCGATGCGAGCGAGCAGATGGTGGACGCGGGCCGCGAGCGCACCTGGAACGCAGGCATCGTCGGCGGCATCGACTGGCTGGTGGGCGATGCCGAGGCGCTGCCGCTGCCGGCGCGCTCGGTGGATGCCTGCACGATCGCCTTCGGCATTCGCAACCTGACCCGGATCGAGCGCGCGCTGGCCGAAGCCAGGCGTGTGCTCAGGCCCGGCGGGCGCTTCCTCTGCCTCGAGTTCAGCTCCCGCCCGCCCGCCGGCATCGAACGCCTGTACAACGCTTATTCCTTCGCTGTCATTCCGCTGCTCGGCGCGGCGGTGACCGGCCAGCGCGACGCCTACGCCTATCTGGTGGAGAGCATTCGGCGCTTTCCCCCGCCCGAGCTGCTCGCCAGCATGATGGGCGACGCCGGCTTCGGCGGCGTGCGCGTGCGCCCGCTCTCGGCCGGCATCGCCACGCTCCATTCGGGCTGGCGCATCTAACGCACCCATCATGCGCCGGGCGCTCAGAAATATTGGGCGACTGCTGCGGATTGCCTGGACCCTGGGGCGCTGGGATGCGCTCTTCCTCCTGATCGACCACGGCCTCGTACCGCCGGTGACCTTTCTCGCCGGCATGGCTCCCAAGAAGCGAGGGTTGGGGACGCCTGGGCAGCGGCTCGCCGGCGCGCTCCAGGTGCTGGGGCCGAGCTTCATCAAGTTCGGCCAGGCGCTCTCCACCCGGCCGGACCTGGTGGGCGAGGAGACCGCTGTCGCGCTATCGGCACTGCAGGACCGCCTGCCGCCCTTCGACGCGAAGGCCGCGCGGGCCATCGTGGAGTCCGAGTTCGGCGTGCCGCTCGACTCGCTCTTCCGGGCGTTCACCGACGAGCCGGTCGCCGCGGCCTCCATCGCGCAGGTGCACTTCGCGGTCACCGCGACCGGCGAGCCGGTGGCGGTCAAGATCCTGAGGCCTGGCGTCGAGCGCGCCTTCGAGCGCGATCTGGAGCTTTTCTACTGGCTTGCGGAGCTTGCCGAGCGCGCCCTGCCTTCCTGGCGCAGGCTCCGCCCGGTCGAGGTCATCCGCACCTTTGCCCAAAGCGTGATGATCGAGATGGACCTTCGCTTCGAGGCCGCCGCCGCCTCCGAGCTGCGCCAGAACTTCGCCGAGGACACAGGCTTCCTGGTGCCGGCGGTCGACTGGCGGCGGACCAGCCGCCGCGTGCTCACGCTGGAGCGCGTCGAGGGCATCCCGATCGACGAGCGGGACGCTCTGATTGCGGCCGGCCACGACCCGCACGAGGTGCTCGGCAAGGCGGCAGGCGCCTTCTTCAACCAAGCGTTCCGGGACGGCTTCTTCCACGCCGACCTGCATCCCGGCAACCTGCTGGTGGATGCGGACGGCAATGTCGTCGCCGTCGATTTCGGGATCATGGGGTCGGCTCGACACCCAGACCCGGCGCTATCTGGCGGAGATGCTGCTCGGCTTCCTGATCGGCGACTACGAGCGCGTGGCCGAGGTGCATTTCGAGGCCGGCTATGTGCCGCGCCGGACTTCGAAGGCGGCGTTCGTCCAGGCGCTGCGGTCCATCGGCGAGCCGATCCTCGGCCGGCCGCTCAACGAAATCTCCATCGCCCAGCTGCTCGGCCAGCTGTTCCAGATCACCGAGGCCTTCGAGATGGAGACCCAGCCGCAGCTGCTGCTTCTCCAGAAGACGATGCTGATGGCCGAGGGGCTGACCCGCCGGCTCACACCCGGACCAGAACATGTGGGTCTTCACCCGGCCGCTCATCGAGCGCTGGGCGCGGGAGAATCTCGGCGTCCAGGCGCGCATGCGTGAGGCGGCAGCGGAGCTGCTGGAGGCGGCCGGTCGGCTGCCGCGCCTCGCAGCACGCGCCGAGCGCGTGCTGGACGGGCTGGAGGCCGGTGTCTCGCTCTCGCCCGACACCTTGGAGGCGATGAGCGGGCGCCGGCGTCGCGGAAGCGCGCTGCCCCTCCTCCTCACGTTGGTCGCAGGCCTGCTCGCGGCTCTCTTGGCCGTTCAGTTCCTCTGAGGGGCGTGCCGGCCTTGACACGGACGCCGGGGCGCGGAGAGTGCCCTGCCATGGACACAGACACGATCAGGCGCGAGACCGAGCTTGTGCGGGCCGACTGGGCCGGGCGCGGGCGCCACTGGGACCGGCGGGCGGACGAAATCGCCGAGCAGGCGGCCCGCATGAACGCCCCGCTCATCGAGGCGGCCGACATCGCACCCGGCCAGCAGGTCTGCGACATCGCAACGGGCGCCGGCGAGCCCGCGCTCAGCGTCGCCGCGCTGGTCGGCACGGAAGGCCGCGTCTTCGCCACCGACCTCTGCCCCGAGATGATGCTGGGCGCCCGCCGCCGGGCCGCCGCCCAGGGGCTCCGCAACATCACCTTCCGCACCGCCGACATGCTGGCGCTCCCCGACTCGGACTCCGCGTTCGACCGGGTGATCTGCCGCTTCGGGCTGATGTTCTGCCCGGCGCCTGCGCGGGCCGCCGCCGAGGCGCTGCGCGTGCTCAAGCCCGGCGGGCGGGTGGCCTATCTGGTCTGGGGGCCGCGCGAGGAGACGACCATGTTCGTCGTCTTCGTCGCTGCCGCCGAGGCCGTGCTCGGCCCTCTCGATGAGGTGGAGGAGATCGATCTCGCCCGGCCGTTTTCCCTGGGCACGCCTGGGGCACTTGCCAGCGCGCTGACCGAAGGCGGGCTTACGGATGTGGAGGAGCGCGAGGTCCGCTTCGCGCCCCGGGTCCCGGCGGATGCCCCCTTCTGGCAGGCCCAGTTCGACATGACCTTCGGCCGTGCCCTCGATGGCGCCGGGGAGGCCAAGCGCCACGCCTTGAAAGAGGCCGTGGCGGCAGGCTTTGAGCACCTTCGGGAGGAGGACGAGGTCCCTCTCTCGGTCCATGTGCGGATCGGCACCGGGGTGAAGCCGACAGGCTGAGCCGGCGCGGAACACGCCGCCGGCATGGGCACGATCCGTCAATTCATGCTGTTAAAATAACAGTTACTTGAAATTGGGTTCGTTTTGTAAATTTTCGCTCCGGACTCATCCTGAAGGCGCGAGCTCGCTCTCCAACCGCGCGATTTCGTCCTTGAGGCGGAGTTTCTGGCGTTTGAGACCCTGAATTTCGAGATTGTCGCCGCGGCCCGAGAGCGCGTCGATTTGAGCATTTAACGACTGATGTTCGTTGCGCAGCGCCTCCAGGCGCTGCGAGATCGAGTCTTGATCGGTCATTCGTCCCCCTTCGTCCTGCCACGGCCGGCGAACCGGCCGGGTGCGGCTCAATCCAATATGGGGGCAGCGATCGACTTATGAAAGCTGCCCCACCACTCAAATGGTCTCGAAATAGCGCTCGTACTCCCAGGCGCTGACATGGCTCTGCTGCCAGGCGCGCCAGAGGTCGAGCTCGGCCCGCCGCGACAGCGCGTAGTGATCGACGAAGCGGTCGCCGAAGGCGCGGCGCAGGAAGGCGGAAGCCTCGAAGACTTCGACCGCCTCCTCCAGCGAGGCCGGCAGTTTCGTGTAGCTCTCGTCGAGCGCCGCGTTGCCTGTGCAAAGCGGCGGCGGCACGAGGCCGCGCTCGATACCGTCGAGGCCTGCGGCCAGCATGCCGCCGATGGTGAGATAGGCGTTCGAATCGGCGCCCGGCACCCGGTTCTCGAAGCGCGCGCCGTGTGGCACGGGCCGGGTGATCAGCCTGAGCGCCGCACTGCGGTTGTCGTCGCCCCAGGATGCGTTCTCGGGCACCCAGTGCTGCCAGTCTCGGCGGCGGAAGGAGTTGATGTTGGCCATGCAGAGTGCGACGAGCGCCGGCAGATGCTCGAGCTGCCCGGCGGCGTATTGCCTCGCGGTCTCGCTCGGGCCCGAACCGTCCCAGAACACATTCTCGCCGTCCCGCCACAGGCTCTGGTGAACGTGCCCGCCGGAACCCGGCAGGTCGGCGTCGAGCTTGGCCATGAAGGTCGCGACCATGCCGCGCTCGGCACAGACCTCCTTCAGATAAGTCTTGGCGCGCATGGCGCCGTCGGCGGCGGCGAGCGGCGGCGCATGGGCGAGCGCGAACTCGATGGCGCCGTGGCCGAGCTCCGTGTGCATGGAAACGACCGGCGTGCCCACCGCCTCCATGCGCTGCGTGAAGGTCTCGAAGAGCGCGCGGAGCGCCGGCAGACGGATCAGGCTGTAGGCATTTCGCGTGCGCGATACTGGCGTGAGCGTCGCGGGCGAGGGCGGCGAGGCGGCATCGTCCGCATAGTAGATGAAGACCTCGTACTCGACCGCGAAGCGCGGCTGGAATCCCATGGCGGCGGCTTTGTCAACGGCGCACCTCAGCATCGTGCGCGGGCCTTCCGGCGTCATGGTGCCGTCGGGGTCGTGGACGTCGATCACGACCGCCGCCGTATCCGGCCGCCAGGGCAGGCGGCGGACCGTGGCCGGGTCAGCTTCCCCGAAAACGTCGGCGAAGCCGTTCTCGTAGGACGAGAACGGCGAGACGTAGACGTCGTCCGCCACGGTCAGTCCATAGATGATGTTTGACCAGCCGACCTCGTCAGAGAGCCCCTTGTCGAGCGCGAGCAGCTTGCCGCGAAGCCCGCCGTCGAGATCCGGCACCTCGACCTGAACGAGGCGCACGCCTTCGGAGCGCATCCGCTCGCGGATCGCCGCCAACTCGTCATTCGTCGTGTCGCTCATTGAGCCGCCCCCGCACCGGCCACTGCCGGTTTCTCATAGCCCACGCTGGTATAGGCCTCGTCGGGCACGAGCGCGGGGTCCTTGTAGATCGACCAGCGGCAGACGCCGCCCGCCCGTGCCTCCGGCCAGGTGGGTGGGTCGATCACCCGCGTCGGATAGCCGAAGCGGCGGATGGGCATACGCTGATTGAGCTGGCAGCAATGGACGCAATAGACGCAGACGCCGGTCTTGCCCCAGGACCAGTCGTGGGCCTCGGTAGTCACGGCGAAACCGTAGGGGGGCTGCATGCGCGGACCCTTCGGGTCGCCGTCGCGGTAGGTGCGCCCGCCGGAGCCGCAGGGGTCGAAGCTGAGCACCCAGCGGTCGGCCTCTTCCGTGATCTCGATGGCGCCCATGCGCCCCGCCCACTCAGATGGCCGCGCAGCGAAAGCGCCGCGATCAGGATCAACCGGTGCATCGAGCGCGGCCACGGGTGCGTGGCCGTGTCGTAGACGTCGTAGGTCTCATACATCGGCGCCATCAACTCGTCCCAGAGCGGGCCGATGCGGCGCTCGCCGAGATGGCGGACGACGAGGTCGAGCATGCCGTAGACCAGGTCGCAGCCCCGGTCATGGGTCTCGAGCCAGAGCGAGCGGGCGCTCTCCAAGCGCGCACTGGCGCCGGTCGCATCGCCGGCCCGGCAGGCGGCCTCGACCGCGTCGATTTCGGCGATGTAGGCGGCCCAGCCAGCGTGAATGTCGAAAGGTTCCCCCGCCTCGCCGGCCAGCAGCGCGCCCAACCGCGCCTCGCCCGCCGCGATTTCGGCCTCGTCCACGCCCTCGGCGACAAGGGTGTCCCTGATCTGATCGGTCCAGAGGGCATAGAGCTCGTAGCCCTCGCGGGCTTCCTCGACCGTATGGCGGGCGAGGGCCGCGGCATCGGCGAAGCGCCCCTCGTCGAGGGCGCGCGCCGCCAAAGCGTAGGACGAGGCGGCGTGATCCGCCCACCCGCCGGCGCGGACCGGTGCCCGATGATGGGATCGTCCACGAGCGGCCCCGCAGCGCCTCGGATCGCCTCCCCAGCCACGCTCTGTCCTAGCCGTTCTGCAGTCCACTGCTCCGCGGCGCCGCGGGGCGGCCACAAGGTAGAAAATCCGCGCCCTCGGGTAAAGGAGGCGACGCGTGCGCGTGGTCAGCCGCCGGAGGCTCCAATATCAGCACCTGCTTGCCGACCACGCTGCGGGTGCGGAACGCCTCCAGCGCCGCCGGCGCCTCTGCGAGCGGCAGGCGGCGGGAGACGAGCGGATTCAGCGCGCCGGCCTCGTACCAGCGCAGCAACTCGGCGAAATAGGCGCGATTCGCGGCGGGGTCGCGAAAGGCGAAGGCGCCCCAGGCGACCCCGACGACACTCATCTCCTTGAGCAGCACGATATTGGTCTTGGCCTCGGCGATGCGGCCCGAGGCGAAGCCGATGACCAGCAACCGGCCGTTCCACGCGATGCAGCGCATCGACGCTTCGAAGATATCGCCGCCGACCGGGTCGTAGATCACATCCGCGCCGCGCCCGTCGGTCAACGCCTTGACCCGCTCGCGAAGGTCTTCCGTGCTGTAGTTGACCAAGTGGTCGGCACCGTGCTCCTGCGCGTGCGCGAGCTTCTCGTCGCTGCTTGCGGCCGCGATCACGCTCGCACCCAGGCGCTTGCCGATCTCCACCGCCGAGAGCCCGACACCGCCGGAGGCGCCCAGCACCAGCAGCGTCTCGCCCTCGGCCAGCGCCGCGCGCCCGACGAGCGCGTGGTAGCTGGTGCCATAGACCACGGGAAAGGCCGCAGCGACGTCGAACGGCATCGCATCGGGGATCGGGATGACGGTGGAGGCCGACGCCACCACCTCCTCGGCCATGCAACCGTGGGAGCAATAGGCGAGCACGCGGGTGCCGGGTGCCGGCCCGTCCGCGCCGGGTCCGAGTTCCGTGACCGTGCCCGCGCATTCGAGGCCGGGGCTGAAGGGGAAGGGCGGCCTGACCTGATACTTGCCTTCGATCAGGAGGAGATCGGGGAAGTTCACACCGACCGCGGCCACGGCGATGCGCACCTCGCCCGGCCCGAGCGCGGGCGGGTCCACGGTCTCGACCGCAAGGGTCTCGGGCGGGCCGAAGGCCCTGCAGAGAACCGCTTCCATGGCATCAGGTCTCTTGATGGCGGGGGAGTGGCGGGCGGCGGCGCCTCTCAGTCGAGCACCGTCCCGTCGCGGGCAAGCGCCGGCGCCACGCTGCCGCCGTCGAATTCCACCGTGGCGATCAGCTCGACCGAATGGTTGACGGCGAGCCCGCGGCAGCCGATGGCCGCCCGGGTCGGCATCAGGCGCCGGCCGTAAAGCTCGACCAGGAGATCGACGGCGCCGTTGATGACGCGCGGCTGATCGACGAAATCGGGACCCGAGTTCACATAACCCACCAGATGCAGCATCCGGTGCATGCGGTCGAGATCGCCCAGCGCATACTTGATCAGGCCGAGGTAGCAGAGCATGCACTGGCGCGCCGCCTCGTAGCCTTCCTCGATCGTGCGGTCCACGCCGAGAATGCCGGTCATGTAGGGCTTGCCGTCCTTCGCCGGCGTGCAGCCCGAGAGGTACAGCACGCGCCCCACCGCATGGTGCGAGACGTATTTCGCGCCCGACGGGTTGTTGCTGTAGCTGTCTTCGAGCCGGGGCAGCGTCAGGCCAGCGGCCTCGATCTTCTGCTCGATGGTCATGGTCCGAGCATGGTGCGCCGTGCCGGGCGAGTCAACGACGGGGCCGCCCTGTGGGCTATACTCGCACATGAGCAAGCCCGAGGGCATGAGCGATGACGACGACCCGGCCGCGCTCGCCAAGCGCTTCCTCGACCTCTGGCAGGAGGAGATCGCCGGCACCGGGCGGGACGAAGGCCCGGGCGCGCTCACGCTCCGCCTTGCCGCCCTGCACCTCGCGGCACTGGCGCCGGACGCCGCGAGCGGCGGCCTGAATGGCCGCGCAGGCGACAACACGTCTGGGGCCGAGGCCCCTCCCCCTTCATCTGGGGATGGCGCTCAGCGGCTGGCTGAGCTCACTCGCCGCCTTGCCGCCTGCGAGGAGGGGATCGCTGCGCTGGAGGCACGTGCCCGCAAAGCAGGCAGCGGCCCTCGAAAAGGCACTCGCAGAGACCGATCCTGAGGCGCTGGCGCGGGCGCTCGGCGCCGAGGCGGCAGGCCGCATCGGCCGCTTCCTCGCGGGCATCGAAGGCTACCGCGCCCATCCCTACCGGCGGCGTCTCGAGGATCCGCCGGTGCTCTGGCAAGCCGGCACCACGCGGGTTCTCGCCTTCGGCGGCGAGGCGTCGGGCGCGCCGGTGCTGCTCGTGCCCTCGCTCATCAACCGCGCCTACATCCTCGACCTCACGGCGCAGCGCAGCTTCGCCCGCTATCTGCGGGAGCGGGGCCTCCGCCCCTATCTGCTCGACTGGGGGGCGCCGGGCGCCGACGAGCGGGATTTCGGGCTCGACGACTACATCCTCGGCCGCCTGGAGCCCGCGCTGGAGGCGGTGCACCACGACGCGGGCAGGCCGGTGACCCTCGCCGGGTACTGCATGGGCGGCACGATGGTGTTGCCGCTCGCCGCCCGGGCCGATGTGGCGGCGTTGGTCCTGCTGGCGACGCCCTGGGATTTTTGGGCCGACGGCCGCCATCAGGCGCGCCTGATCGCGGCCCACCTGCCGGGGCTGACCGCCCTGATCGAGAGTCTGGAGCAACTGCCGCCCGACGCGCTGCAGGCCATGTTCGCCGCCCTCGACCCGCTGCTGGCGGCGCGCAAGTTCAGCGCCTTTGCCGCGCTCCCGCCCGCCTCCGCCGCGGCGCGGAACTTCGTCGCGCTCGAGGACTGGCTCAACGACGCCGTGCCGCTCACGGGCCGCGTGGCTCGGGCCTGCCTGGAGGACTGGTACGGCGCGAACGCGCCCGCGGCTGGGAACTGGCGGGTGGGGGGAGAGGCGGTTCGGCCCGAGCGTATTCGTGCGCCTGCGCTCAATGTGGTGCCGGCGCGCGATCGCATCGTCCCGCCGGCCTCGGCGGCGGCTCTGAGCGCCGCGTTGCCCATGTGGAGACCTGGCGGCCGCCGCTCGGCCATATCGGGATGATGGCGAGCCCGCGACCAAGCGCCTGCTCTGGCGCCGGCTTGCGGCGTGGATCGCAGACCACGCCGCCGCATAGCCCCGATTCTCCGCGCCAACGCTTGAAAATGCGCTGCCGCCGACGCATATGAGGCGCGCGCGCCGCCGAGGAGTCGGCTCCCGGCGGCGCTGAGCATTACCGGGGGAGAGAGAATGAATCGGGTCGCACTGGTGACAGGCGGTACGCGAGGCATCGGCGGCGCGATTTCGCTCGCGCTGAAGAATCACGGCTGCCAGGTGGCGGCGAACTACCACGCGAACGACGAGGCGGCCGAGCACTTCCGCGAGGTCACTGGCGTCGATATCTACAAGTGGGACGTGAGCGACTTCGCGGCCTGCGAGGCTGGCGTCGCGCAGATCGAGGCGGACCTGGGCCCTATCGATATCCTGGTGAACAATGCCGGGATCACGCGGGACGGCACGCTGCAGAAGATGACGCCGGACAGATGGCAGGCGGTGCTCGATACCAACCTCGGCTCTTGCTTCAACCTCTGTCACGCCACCTTCCCCGGCATGCGCGCGCGCAAGTTCGGGCGCGTCGTGAATGTGGGCTCGATCAACGGCCAGGCGGGCCAGTACGGCCAGGTCAACTACGCCGCGGCGAAGTCCGGGATTCACGGCTTTACCAAGGCCTTGGCACAGGAGGGAGCGCGCCACGGGATCACCGTGAACGCCGTCGCACCCGGCTATGTCGATACCGACATGGTGCGCGCGGTGCCGGAGGCGGTGCTGGAGAAGATTGTGGCGAGCATCCCCGTCGGCCGACTGGGCCGCGCCGAGGACATTGCGCGGGCGGTGCTATTCCTCACCGCAAACGACGCCGATTTCATTACCGGATCGACGATCTCGGTGAACGGCGGCCACCACATGTATTGACGGGGCGTTTCGAGGGGAGACGGGCGTGGCACGGCTAGCACTCATCACCGGCGGCACGCGCGGCATTGGCGCCGCCGTCGCGCGCGCGCTGAAGGACGCCGGCCACCCGGTGGTGGTCAACTACCATGCCGACGAGGCGTGCGCTGCCGCCTTCACTGCGGAATCGGGCATCCCTGCGCTCAAATGGGACGTGAGCAACGGCGACGCCTGCCGGGCGGGGTCGAGGCCATCGAGGCCGAGCACGGCCCGGTGGAGGTCCTCGTCAACAATGCCGGGCACGGTCTCCGACAACAAGTTCGAGAACATGACCGACGACCAGTGGCAACGGGTGGTGCGGGTCAACCTCGATTCCGTCTTCTACATGTCGAAGGCGGTCTATCCCGGCATGATGGGGCGGGGCTGGGGCCGCATCATCCAGATCGGCTCGATGAACGGCCAGGCCGGCCAGCTCAACCAGGTCAACTACGTCGCCGCCAAGGCGGGCATGCACGGCTTCACCAAGGCGCTGGCGCAGGAAGGGGCCAAGTACGGGATCACGGTCAACACCGTGGCGCCCGGCTACGTCGACACCTACCTGATGCGCAACATGCCCGAGAAAATCGTGCAGAAGATCGTCGACAAGTCCCCGATCCGCCGCATGGGGTATGAGGAGGAGGTGGCCCACGCCGTGCTCTTTCTCATCGACGACAAGGCGGCGTGGACCACCGGCTCCACGATCACAATGAACGGCGGCACCCATATGTACTAGCCCGCATTTCTCACCAGGGTCACGGCCTGTCGTCGCGCGGGACGCGCGCGGGGCGCACGATGCGCCCAGGCGTTCGATCCGCCCAGAGCGGCCCGAAACGTAGCGGGTGCCTACGGTTGAGGCCCGCGACGCCGCGGGCGGGCGCCTGGGCGCGACCCGTAGGGCGGCGCTGTCCGGCCGACAGTGTGCGTCACGGCGCTTGCCCGATGTCCCCGCATCGCGCTGCGCGCCGTTCCTACCCTGTCGGCCGGACAGCGCCGCGCAGACCATGACCGTGGTGAGAAATGCGGGCTAAACCCGTGCTGAGCCGGACCGCCGCAGGCTGCTACGATACCCGGCCATGCATCAGGACGTCGTCGACCTCAACGCCTTCTACCTGACCCGGCTCGGCCGGGTCGCGCGTCGAATCTTGGGCCAGCAGATCCGCCTGGTGTGGCCGAGCGTACGCGAAGAGGTGGTGCTGGGGCTCGGTTACCCGGTGCCCTTCCTCGGGCTCTTCCGCGAGGAGGCGGACCGCGTGTTCGCCGTCATGCCGGCGGGCCAGGGAGTCATGGCGTGGCCCGAGAGCGGCGGGCGGCTGGTAACGCTCGCCGACGACGGCTTCCTGCCGCTCCCTGACGGCTCCATTGACCGCATCCTCATCGTCCATGGCCTCGAGTTCAGCGAGCAGCGTCGGGCGATGCTGGAGGAGGTGTGGCGGGTGATGCGGCCGAACGGGCGCATTCTGGTGTTGGTGCCGAACCGCCACGGCCTCTGGGCGCGCGCCGAGGCGACGCCATTCGGCCATGGCTCGCCGTTCAGCGCCTCCCAGCTCGCCCGGCTCTTGAGGGAGCACCGCCTGGCCCCGCTCGCCGCCGGCGCGATGCTGTTCCTCCCGCCCACGGGATCTCGCGCGGTGCTGCGCACAGCTGCCGCCTGGCAGCGCATCGGCCGCCACCTCGGGCGCCCCTTCGGCGGCCTCGTTTACGTGGAGGCGGGCAAGACCGTGTTCGAGGCGCGCCCGGTGACGGCGCGGCAGAGGCGCCGGGTCATCATGCCGATACCCCAGCCGGTCCCGGCGGGCGCGCGAACGGCCGCCGGAGACTGCGGCTTACCGTTGTCCCGCCCCTGAGCCTGCGCCGCGCGCGGGATCGGCCGAGAGCAGGAACACCGCCTGCTCGCCAAACAGGTTGGCGAAGCGGCCGGTGCCGGTGAAGCGGCGCACGCGGCCGCGCGAATCGACCTGGGTGCGTCGCTCGATACGGATTCCGAGCTCGCGGCAGAGCATCACGAAGTCCTTGATCGTGCAGGGCCTGATCATTGGCGTCTCATACCATAGCTCGCCGGAACCCAGAGGCGTCGGCATCCGGCCACGGGTCAGCAGATGCAGCCGGTTGCGCCAATGCCCGAAATTGGGGATCGAGACGATCGCGCTCTGGCCGATCCTGAGCAGTTCCAGCAACACGCCCCTGGGGTCTCGGATCGCCGGCAGGGTCTGGCTCAGCACGACATAGTCGAAGGCTGCGTCCGGGTAGTCGGCGAGGTCGGTCTCCGCATCCCCCTGGATGGCCGAGAGCCCGCGCCTGACCGAGGCGTTCACGCCCTCCTGGCTGATCTCGATGCCGCGGCCATCGACGTTCTTCTCGCGCGCGAGCAGCTCCAGCAGGGCGCCGTCGCCGCAGCCGATGTCGAGCAGCCTGGAGCCAGGCTCCACCAGCTCGGCAATCAGGCGATGGTCGGGGCGGGCGCCCTGGCGCCGCGGGCCTGCGTTCACGGACCGGTTCTTACGGGCTGTGGAGCCCGCGCTTGGCGGCAGCACCGCTCAGGAACCCGCGCAATGTCTCGAACATGTCCGGCTCGTCGAGGAGGAAGGCATCGTGCCCCTTGTCGCTCACCACCTCGACGAAGCTCACGTTGGCGGCAGCCGCGGCCAGCGCTCGCACGATGGCGCGATTCTCCGACGTGGGATAAAGCCAGTCGCTGGTAAAGGAAATCACGCAGAAGCGGGTCTCGACCCCGCGAAACGCATTCGCCAGCACGCCGTCGTAGTCGGCCGCGAGATCGAAGTAGTCGATCGCCCGGGTGATGTAGAGGTAGGAGTTGGCGTCGAAACGCTCGACGAAACTTTGTCCCTGATAGCGAAGGTAGCTCTCGACCTGAAAATCCGCATCGAAGCCGTAGGTGACGTTGCTCCTGTCCTGAAGCGCGCGGCCAAACTTCCGGTGCAGCGCCGATTCCGAGAGATAGGTGATGTGCGCGGCCATGCGCGCCACCGCGAGGCCGCCCACCGGATTCGTGCCGAGTTCCTGATAGCGCCCCTCGCGCCATTCGGGATCGGCCATGATCGCCTGGCGGCCGACCTCATTGAGCGCGATGTTCTGGGCCGAATGCTTGCGGCACAGGCGATCGGCACCGCGGTGTAGCAGCGCTCGGGGTAGCTCGCCACCCACTGCAAAGCCTGCATTCCGCCCATGGAGCCGCCGGACACGCAGAAGAGCTGCTCGATCCCCAGATGGTCGAGCAGCATGGCCTGGGCCTTGACCATGTCGCGGATGGTGATGACCGGGAAGTCGAGACCCCAGGGGCGCCCGGTGGCGGGGTTGATCTCCTTCGGCCCGCTGGTGCCCATGCAGCCGCCGAGCGCGTTGCTGCAGATCACGAAATAGCGGTCGGTGTCGAAAGTCTTGCCCGGCCCTACCATCACCTCCCACCAGCCGGGCTTGCCGGTAACCGGATGGGGCCCGAGGACGAACTGGTCGCCGGTGAGCGCATGGCAGAGGAGCACCGCGTTGGAGCGCTCGGCATTGAGCGTGCCGTAGGTCTGATAGGCGAGCGTGAAGGGCCCGAGGGAGACGCCGCAATCGAGCTCGAGCGGCGCCTCCCGGCCGAGCTCGACGCTCAGGCCGGTCTGCACGCCTTCCGCCGCGGCTTGGCTCTCGGGCATTGCGGTCATCACTCGTCAGGCTCCGCACGGCTGCGCCCTGCCATCGGATCGCGTGCCGGAATTGTCGCCGAAAGGGTGTCAGACAGTTGCGATTTGAACCTGAAAGTCAATGTTCTCTTTGATTTTGCCACGCTCATGGACTAGGACTCGCCACCCCCTGAGCCACGTCAGTCATGCCATGAACAGGCTTCGCCGGAGGAGGTCTCCGCTCGCCGCCATGCGCGACGAGATCGACGAGATCGACGACACGATCCACGACCTGCTGATGCGTCGCATGGCGTCGCCAACCGCATCAGCGAGACCAAGCGCGCCCGCGGGCGCCACCGGCGCGCTGCTGCGGCCGGCGGGAGGCCGCGATACTGAGGCGGATGATGGCGCGCCACGGGGCCCCTTCCCTTCCCCGTCATCGTGCGGATCTGGTCCGAGATCATGTCGGCGACCTTTGCCGAGGGGCGGCTCGCGGTATCGGTGGTGTTCACGGTCGAGGAGCCCAGCGAAGAGAGCGCTTCCGACCTCGCGCGGGTCCATTTCGGCGCCGAAAACGCCGTGCTCACCGGCGCGACGGAAAGCGGCGCCTGGCGCGGCGCGACGGACGGCAAGTGCGTGTCGGCGTGCTGCCCGTGCCTGCGGACGCGAGTTGAGCGGCGCGTGTGGGCGTGAGAGCGCGAGCCATGGTGGCTGACGCTTGCCGTCAGCGACCGAGGAACGGCCGATGATCGTTGAGGCTGCCCTGGCTCGCGGGCGGGCGGAATTCCGCGGCAAGACCAGTGCGCTCGTGGTGGCCATGACCAGCCGGCGCATCGGGAGACGATGTTTCCTTCATGCGGTCGATCGTCGGACACGATCAGCCGCGACCGCATCCGCTCGGCGCCGCCGTGGCCGGCATCGCGGTGACCGGCTCGTTGCATGGCACGGGCGACGACGGCTGTGCCGAGGCCGCTGGCAACTCATCGAGGGTCGATGGCTTCGTCGCGGGAGGACGAGCGGCTGCAGGACTTCGCCGAGCAGCTGGGCGACGATGTCAGGCGCATCGCGGTGCTGGGCAGCTATCCAAGGCCGCCTGCCCCCTGGCACAACGGTGACGAGCAGGCGGGCACGACGATGCCGATCCACCGACCCCGCGCCCCGGGATCATGGAGATCTCGCCCTATGTCGGCGGGCGCTCACCGCCGACGGCACACCAACACCATCAAGCTCTCCTCCAATGAATCGGCGCTGGGCCGAGCCCGAAGGCGCAGGCGCGTACCGGGAGCTCGCAGGGACGCTGCACCGCTACCCCGACGGCGGGGCCACGGATCTGCGCACCGCGCTCGGCGCGCTGCACGGAATCGATCCGAACGGATCGTTTGCGGCAAACGGCTCGGACGAGCTGCTCCAGATTCTCGCCAAGCCTATGCGGCCAGGCGATGAGGTCATCTATTGCCGTCACGGATTTTGGTCTATCCGCTGGCCACGCTCGCCGTCGGCGACGACGCCCGTGAGTGCCGGAGTCGACTACACGGCGGACGTCGACGCAATCCTGCCGGGTGACCGAGCGGACCGGATCGTCTTCTCGCCAACCCCAACAACCCGACCGGCACCTACATTCCCAGGGGCGAGTCCGTCGGCTCTGGGGCGGCCTACCGGAGCACGTCCATCCTGGTGGTCGATTCGGCCTACGCGGAAATTCGTTACCGCCGGCGACTACGATCCCGGCTCGATTCGCCGGCATGGAGCCCAACGTGGTGATGACCCGCACGTTCTCAAAGGTCTACGGGCTTGCGGAGCTCAGCTCGGCTGGGCCTACGCGCCGCCCGCCATTATCGACGTGCTGCACCGCATTCGCGGCCCCCTTCAACGCAACGCCAAACGCCGCGGCGCTCGCTGCGGCGCTCGCCGCGCTGGAGGATCAGGATCACATCGTCCGCTCCTGCCGGCATAACGAGGCATGCCGCGATGCGCTCGCCGCCAGGCTCGACGCCGCCGGGCTCCCAGGTCCGTTACCCAGCGTCTGCAACTTCCTGCTGGTGCGCTTCGGACGAGCCATGGCCGGGCGCTGCGGCGGCCGATCGCTTTCTCAGCGAACGCGGGGGTCGGGCCCGTCGGATGGAGCCTACCACCTCGCCGACTGCCTCAGAATTACGGTCGGCCTGGAAGCGGAGAATGAGGCCGTGGCCCAGGTGCTGGAGCCTTCATGGCGGCGCCTGCGGCAGAGGCAGGCGGCGAACGGTGAGCGAGCCCGAGCCCTTCTCGCGCCGTCGCGCTGTCGGCCTCGGCCTGGTCAACTCCTCGCTCGCGCGGGTCTTGCGTGAGAAGGCACCCGCGACCGAGATCGTGGCTGCGCCGGAGCCAGGCGACTCTCGACACGGCCATGAGGCTCGGCTTCGCGACCGGGGGTGACGCTCGGACCCGTCGAAGCGGTCGAAGGCTGCGACTCGTGGTGTGGGATCGCCGGTCACGCACGTTCGAGCCGCTCGCGGCGAGGATCAGGCAGCATCTGGCCGAAGGCGCGATTCTGACGGACGTCGGCTCGGTCAAGAGCGCCGTGTTCGCGGCAGTCGGGCCGCATGTGCCGCCGAGCGTCCATCTGATCCCCGGCCATCCGGTCGCAGGCACCGAGCGTTCGGGGCCGGAGGCGGGCTTCGCCGAGATGTTCGAGGGCCGCTGGTGCATCCTGACCCCGCCGCCGGACGCGGATCCCGCAGCGGTGGAGCGGATCGCCGCGCTCTGGCGCATGGCCGGCATGAAGATCGAAATTATGGACGCCGCGCACCACGACATGGTGCTCGCCATCACCTCGCACCTGCCGCACCTGATCGCCTACAACATCGTCGGCACGGTCACCGACCTCGAGGAGGAGACCAGGCACGAGGTCTTCAAGTATGCGGCCGGCGGCTTCCGCGACTTTACTCGCCTCGCCGCGTCGGACCCGATCATGTGGCGCGATGTCTTCCTCAACAACCGGGGCGCGGTGCTGGAGATGCTGGGCCGCTTCAGCGAGGATCTATCGGCCCTCCAGCGCGCCATCCGCCGGGGCGACGGCGCCCACCTGGAGGCGCTCTTCACCCGCACCCGCGCGATCCGGCGCGGCGTGATCGAGGCCAAGCAGGTCTGAGTGGCCCCCGGCGCCTGCGATTAGCGCCGCAGGCACTCAGGTGAGGCCGAGCACGTTCGCCATCGTGTAGAGGCCCGGTCCCCGCCCCTCTGCCCAGCGCGCCGCTTGGAGGGCACCTCGGGCATAGGTCTGGCGGTTCGCCGAGCGGCAGGTCAGCTCCAGCCGCTCGCCGTCCGCCGCGAAGATCACGCTGTGCTCGCCGACCACATCGCCGCCGCGCAGCGCGGCGAAGCCGATCTCGCCGCGCGGTCGCGCGCCGGTCACGCCGTCGCGGCCGCGGGCTGCGACCTCATCGAACGAGACTCCCCGCGCGCGCGCCGCCGCCCGGCCCAAACCCAAAGCCGTGCCGGAGGGCGCGTCGATCTTGTGCCGATGGTGCATCTCGACGATCTCGATGTCGTAATCGGCGTCCAGAGGCCCGCGACCTGCTCGGTGAGACGCATCAGCAGATTGACGGCGAGGCTCATGTTGGGCGCCTGGACCACGGCAGTTTGCGCCGCCGCCGCCGCCTTGAGCGCGGCCTGCTCGGCTTCGCCGATGCCGGTGGTGCCGACGACGAGGATCGTGCCCTCGGCGGCCGCGAGCGTCGGCGTGGCCGGCGGTGGCGCCCGGCAGGGTGAAGTCGAGCACCGCATCGGCAGCAGGAACATCGCCTGCGGATCGTCGCTCACCGCGACGCCTAGCGGCTCGATCCCGGCAAGCGCGCCGCAATCCCGGCCGAGCGCGGGATGGTCGGGAAACCTCGGTCGCCGCGACCAGAATGCAGCCTTCCGTGGCCTCAACCTGACGGGCCAGCGCCTGGCCCATGCGCCCAGCGGCAGCCCGGGATGCCGATCTTCATCGCGCCTCCGCCGGCTCGATCCAGAGCTTCATCGTGTGGTCATAGTGGCGACGCACCTGCGCGCACGCAAGCAAGCTCGGGCGCCAGCCCTCAGAGCAACGGCGCCTGCCCGCCGTCGTCCTCGTCCCGTCCGGCCTTGCGGCGCTTGGGCCGGCCGGTGGCGCGGGCGGCGGCGCGGCCATCGTGGAATTCGAGGGAGAGCCCGGCGCCCGGCTTCACCGCTGCCGCGCTGGTCACGGGCCGCTCCCGCTGGTCGCGCACGACCGCAAAGCCGCGCGCGAGCACGCCCCGATAGGAATAGCTTTCGAGCAGACGCGCCGCGGTCCCGATCCGTGCCGCCCGCTCGCTCAACGCCGCGCGCCCGGCCCTGCCTAGGCGCACCGCCAGCAGGTCGCTCGCCTGGCGCGCTTGGCCGAGGCGCTGGGCGAGACGGTCGGCCGAGAGGTGACCGGTGGCGTGCGCGAGCTGCTGGTGCTTGAGGGCGAGGAGCTGGCGCGGACGGAGCGGCCTCAGCCGGCCGACGGCCTGTCGCTCGGCCCCGAGCCGGCCGCGCACCCCGCGGGCGAGCCGCTCCGACCAGTCGTCGAGCCGCTGGCTCGCGGTGGTCAGCCGGTCCCGCGCCGCCGGCAGGCCGCGCCCGAGCCCGTCGACGCGCGCGCGCCGCTCGGCGATGAGCCGGCGGAACGACGCACCGAGCCGATGCTCCAGGGTGTGCGTACGCTCCAAAAGGTCGGCGCGCACCGGCACGGCGATCTCGGCGGCCGCGGTCGGCGTCGGCGCCCGGAGGTCGGCGGCAAGGTCGATCAGCGTCACGTCGGTCTCGTGCCCCACGGCGGCGATCAGCGGGATGTCGCTCGCTGCCGCGGCGCGCACCACGACTTCCTCGTTGAAGGCCCAGAGGTCTTCCAGGCTGCCGCCGCCGCGGGCGACGATCAGCACGTCGGGCCGCGGTCACCGGCGTGGCTGCATCGAGGCGGTTGAAGCCCGCGATCGCGGCGGCGATCTCCTCGGCCGCGCCCGCGCCTTGGACCGTGACCGGCCAGACCAGCACGCGGCGGGGGAAGCGGTCTTCGATGCGATGCAGGATGTCGCGGATCACGGCGCCCGTGGGCGATGTCACGACGCCGATGGTCTCCGGCAAGTAGGGCAGTTCGCGCTTACGCGCCTCGTCGAAGAGGCCCTCGGCGGCGAGCGCCTTCTTGCGCGCCTCCAAGAGCGCGAGCAGGGCGCCTGCGCCGGACAGCTCCAGCCGCTCGACCACGATCTGATAGCGTGAGCGCCCCCGGATACGTGCTGATCTTGCCGGTGGCGATGACCTCGAGCCCGTCTTCGGGCGCGATCCCGAGCCGCCCGGCGGTGCCGCGCCAGCAGACCGCGTCCAGCACCGCGTCCGCATCCTTGAGCGCGAAGTAGAGATGGCCCGATGCGGCGCGTTTGAAGCCCGAGACCTCGCCCCGCACGCTGACCCAGGCGAACTCGCCCTCGACCACGCGCTTCAGCGCCTGCGACAGCTCGCCGACGGTGAGGACCGGCCTGTTGCTGCCGTCAGCGAGGGTGCTGTCCGCCTCCGTCATCGCCTATCGGCGCCCTGCTCTCAGGGTGCGAAGAAGGCGAGGGTGCGGGATTCGATGCTCTGGCGCGGGCGTGCGTCCGCCGGCGCCCTGGGATTGACGAACGCCGTGTGGGCGGTAAAGCGCGCCCTGCCGTCGGCGAGCGAATCGTAGGTCTTGAAGATCAGCGCCTCGCCCGGGTCCATCTCGGGAAAGTAGAACCAACGGTGGCCGGGATTGTGGCTGAGCTGCATCACCTCGCCCACGCGATCCGAATAGACGAGATCGGTCAGCACGAAATCCCGCGCATCGATGCTCTGGGCGTCGCAGATGGCGAGCGGCCTGTCCTGCACCGGGCCCGCGATCGGCCGCCAGCTCTGCACGACGGCGAAGCGGTGCTGGAGCAGTTCCTCCGCGCGATCCGCCGGCAGCAGGTCGCGCACCCGCTGCGGGGCCGAGCGGCTGGTGTAGTCGTTGTGCGCGACATGCACGGGCTCGCGCACCTTGCGCTCGCTCCGCACCGAGTCATCGGCGACGCGGATGGTGTGGTCGAAGACCAGGACCTCGGCGGCGCCGCTCGCCCGCTTCACGAGGCGCTCGACCTCTGGGCTGTAGACTTCCTGCACCTCGTCGTCGTCGAAGAAGTCGGAGACCGCGCTTCCCTCCGTCGTGAGGGTGAATCCCTCCCGCTCCAGGTCGAAGGCGCCATTGGCCGCGCGGGCGTCGCGAATTGTGACCTCGACCTTCTGGTATTCGGCCTCGCGCTGCGCCGTCTTGTTCCCCGGCACGGAGATGTAGGTGACCGGCTTCTCGTCGGTCGCCAGGATGTAGTTGATCGGTGCGTGGACGGCTCCAGACATGGCGGTGTTCTCTCAGGCTGAGGGCGGCTGCGGGGGCGACAGCTTAGACCGAAGCGTGCCTCGCGGCGACCGCAGACTCGTTCACCGTGGCGTGCCTCCCGTTCAGACGGCGGCGATCTCGACCTCGACGCCGTGCACGCAGGTGCTCTCCCCCATGTCCGACTTGATGCCGGGGTTGAGGACGTTGACGTTGGCGCGCGTGCCCTCCTGGCGCGGCCAGCGGCCCTTGGGGCTGAGCGCGACCCCCTGCGGAATGGTCTCGGCAATAGCGAGATCGAGCTCCAGGCTGCCGGTCTCGTTGCTGAGCCGCACCCGCTGCCCTTCCGCGAGGCCGCGGGACGCCGCGTCCGAAGGGTGCAATGTCACAGTCGCGTCGCCGAGGCGGTCCGCAATCCGCCGATCGTTGGCGTAGGAATCGTTCATGAGCCAGGGCGAGGCCGGCGAGAGCAGGCGCAGCCTGCCGTTCTCCGGCTTAGGGTCGGCCTCGGCCAGCGGCAGACGCGGGTGGCCGTCGGCCTCCGCGGCGGGCGGACGCGATCTCGATCTTGCCGCTCGGCGTCGGGAAGGCGAGGTCCTCGAACTGGATCACGGGCGCCGCGTCAGGGAACACCGTGCCGCTCTCTTAAATCGTCGAAGGAGCCTGCGACGCCCACCTGGCCCATGATCTCCGCGATGATCGCCGCGTCGTCCTCGTAGAGTTCAGGCTCGGCGTAGCCCATGGCGCGGGCGAGACGTCGAAAAATCTCCTGGTTGGGGAGCGATTGGCCGAGCGGCTCCTGCAGCTTGGCCTGGGCGGAGAACGAGAGATTGAAGTAGCCCGAGACCAGATCGTCGAATTCGAGGAACGACGCCGCCGGCAGCACGTAATCGGCATAGTCCGCGGTATCGGTCTGGAAGATGTCGACGACGACCGTGAAGAGGTCGTCGCGCATCAGCGCCCGGCGGAACCTGGCTTGCTCGGGGCTGGAGGCGGCCGGGTTGATGTTCCAGCAAAGGAAGGCCTGGATGTCCGCCGGGTCTTCCAGCCGCGCCGCGAGCTCCATCTGGCTGAAGCTCGGCGGGCTCTGGCTCAGTGCCGCCCGGCTACAGATAGTCGCCGTCCACCCCCTTGCGCCCGCCGCCGTTGAGGTAGAGCAGGCCGGCACCGGGCTTGCCGTAATTGCCGGTCACCGCCGGCAGAAGCGCGCAGGCGCGCATCACGTTGCCGCCCATCGCTTGCCGTTGCAGCCCCTGGCCGAGCCAGAGAAGCGCGGGGCCTGAACCGTAGATCCGCGCCGCTTCCTCGATCTCTGCCGCCGGCACGCCGGTGCGGGCCTCGCCCCAGGCCGGCGTGCAGGGGGCGATGGCGAGCTCCAGCTCATCCCAGCCTATGGTGTGCGCGTCGAGGAAGGCACGGTCGATCAGCCCGTCGCGGACCAGCACGTGGACCATGGCGAAGGCCAGCGCTGCATCGCTGCCGGGGAAGGGCTGGAGGTGCAGGTCGGCCTGCTCGGCGGTCGGGTGGCGCACCGGGTCGACCACGATCACCGTCCCCGGCGCCTCCTTGAGCCAATGCTTGTGCTGATGGGGCGCGGAGGCCGACGGGTTCGCGCCCCAGACGAGGATCGAGTGCGCGTCCTTGGCGGTGCGCGGGTCGAAGCCGATCACCGAAGTGCCGATCACATAGTCGAGCGCCACGTGGCCCGCCATGTTGCACACCGTGTCCGGCTCCACCTCGCGGGCGCCGAGGCGGCCCAAGAAGCGCATCGGGAAGTTGTTGGCGATCAGCGAACAGGTGCCGGTGTAGTGGGCGTGTACGATCCTGTCGGCGCCGTCGCCCCCGGCAATCTGCTTGAAGCGCGCCGCGATCGCGCCGATGGCCTCGTCCCACGAGACCGGCTCGAAGCGCCCTTCGCCCTTGGCGCCGGCGCGCTTCAGCGGCGTCAGCAGCCGCGCTTCGGAGTCGCGAAAGACGCCGTTATAGGCGAGCGCGCACTTGCCGCAGAGCGCGCCCCGGCTCACGTGGTGGTCCGGATCGCCGAGCACGCGGGTTATCGCACCGTCGCGCTTGATCGCGACGATGCCGCAGGCGTCGTAGCAATCGCGCGGGCAGGTGGTCTTGAGGACTTCCTTCTCGCCTGGCATGGCGGCCTCCGGCGTCGGTTTCCGGGCCTCAGCCTAACGCCGCGCGCGCCGCCCCGAAACCCCGTGCTAAGCTCGCGGCGACACGAGCAGGGGACGCGCGATGATGCGGACGGTGGGGCTGCCGGGCGGCGACGAGGTCGTGGCGCTCGGCCAGGGCACGTGGCGCATGGGCGAGCGCCGGGCTGCGCGCAAGGACGAGGTGGCGGCGCTCCGCCACGGCATCGCCTGCGGCATGACGCTCGTCGACACGGCGGAGATGTACGGCTCCGGCGGGGCGGAGAAGGTCGTCGGCGAGGCGATCCGCGGGCAGCGCGATACGGTCTACCTGGTGAGCAAGGTCCTGCCGTCCAACGCCGGACGCAAGCGCATGGCGCGCGCCTGCGAGAAGAGCCTGAAGTGCCTCGGCACCGACTACCTCGACCTCTACCTGCTGCACTGGCGGAGCGGCGTCTCCCTCGACGAGGTCGTTGAAGGCTTCCTCGCGCTTCAGGAGGCCGGCAAGATTCGCCGCTTCGGGGTCAGCAATTTCGACACCGACGACATGGAAGAGCTGTGGGAGACCCCGAGCGGCCAAGGCTGCCAGACCAACCAGATCCTCTACAACCTCTCGCGGCGCTGGCCCGAGGCGGCGCTCATGGACTGGAGCCGTCGCCACAGTCAGCCGCTCATGATCTATTCGCCGCTGGAGCAGGGCAGGCTGCCCGAAGGGGGTGCGCTCGGCGCCATCGCGGCCGAGCGTGGCGTGACGCCGATGCAGGTGGCGCTCGCCTGGGTGCTCCGCCATGAGGACATGTTCGTCGTACCCAAGGCGAGCCGCATCGCCCATGTCGACGAGAACCTGGGCGCGCTCGACATTACGCTCACCGATGACGAGCTTGCGGCCCTGGACACGGCCTTCCCGCCGCCCGCCGGCGACGCCCCTCTCGAATTACACTAGAGGGGGCTACGGCCGGGTCAGTCTCGCTGGCCGATCATCTTCATGATGCCGGAGAAATCGTCGGCCCCGAAGCCTGCGTTGCAGAAGAGCGTGTAGAGCGCCACCGCCTCGGCGCCGAGCGGCGATGCCGCGCCGGCCGAGGCCGCGGCGGCCTGGGCGAGGCGCAGGTCCTTCAGCATCATCGGGGCCGTGAACCCCGGCGCGTAGTCGCGGTTCGACGGCGCGCTCGCCACCGGCCCCGGCACCGGGCAGTAGGAGGTAAGCGCCCAGCACTGGCCGGTCGCCTTGGAGACGATGTCGAAGAGCGTCTGGCGTCTCGAGCCCGAGCCGGTCCGCCATCCCGAAGGCCTCGCAGACGCCGATCATCGAGACCGCGAGGATCAGGTTGTTGCAGACCTTGGCCGTCTGGCCTGCGCCGGAGGCGCCGGCATGGATCACGGCCTTGCCCATGTCGCCCAGCACCGGCCGGCCGCGCTCGACCGCGTCCGCCTCGCCGCCAACCATGAAGGTGAGCGTGCCTGCCGCCGCACCGGCGACACCGCCGGAGACCGGCGCATCCAGCAGCGGCCAGCCGCCTTCCGCCGCCGTCGCGCGCGACCGCGCGGGCGGTATCGACGTCGATGGTCGAGCAGTCGATGAGCAGCGTTCCCGGCGCCGCGACCGAGAGGACTCCGCCCTCGCCGCGATAGACCTCCGACACCTCGGCGCCGGCCGGCAGCATGGTGATGACCACCTCACGCCCGGCCGCAGCCTCGGCGACCGAGCTCGCCGTCGCAGCCCCTGCTTCGCGCGCCTTCTCCAGCGCCTGCGTGCTGATATCGAAGGCCGTGACAGCATGGCCGGCCGCCGCCAGATTGGCGGCCATGGGCCCTCCCATATTGCCGAGCCCGATGAATCCGATGTCCGCCATGTCGGAATCTCCCTTTCGCGTTGGTTAGAAGCGGTAGCGCCGTCCCCGGCCGCTTACCACGTCATGTCGCCCTTGGGCGGCTCTCGAAATAGGCGTCGACCGTCGCCGCCGTCACCTCTTCCAGCCGCGCCGGGCGCCAGGCCGGGTTGCGGTCCTTGTCGACGATCTGGGCACGAATGCCCTCGAAGAAATCAACGCCCAGGTTGCAGTGCATGGCGAGCCGGTATTCCAGCGCCATCGCTTCCTCGAAGTCCCGCTCGCCATACGCCGTGAGCTGCTTGAACGAGACCTTGAGGCTGGTCGGCGACTTCTGACGAAGCGTCGCAAGCGTCTCCGCCGCCCAGTCCGAGCCCTCGGCCTCGAGGTTGGCCACGATCTCCTCCACCGAGCCTGCGGCGAAGCAGCGGTCGATCTCCGCCTGCCGGGCGGCGAGGGAGGCAGGGCCGGGATCGGCGGCGCAGTTTGCGAGCAAGCGGTCGATGGCCGCGTGCGCGTCGCTGCCGGAGTCGGCAGCCAGCAGCGTCTCGTCCAGCGCCTGCAGCGCGTCGCTGGCCACGACGTGAGTCGCGAGCCCGAGATAGAGCGAGTCGGCGGCGCCGATGCGCGCGCCGGTGAGGCCGAGGTAGAGCCCGGCCTTGCCCGTGAGCCTGGGCAGGAAGTACGTGGCACCGACATCGGGGAAGAGCCCGATCCCGGTCTCCGGCATGGCGAAGAGGGCGCGCTCGGTCATCACGCGGTGCGAGCCGTGGATCGAGATTCCGACGCCGCCCCCCATGACGACGCCGTCGATCAGCGCGACGTAGGGCTTCGGGTAGCGGAAGATGAAGGTGTTGAGCCGGTACTCCTGCGCGTAGAAGACCGTGGCGAAGTGGCGGTCCGGATCGTCCTGCTCGCCGTAGAGAAGGCGGATGTCGCCGCCGGCACAGAAGGGCACGCGCCCGTCGTCCCGCGCGGCACCGCGCACGACCACCACCGAAATCGCGGGGTCCTCCGCCCATTCCTTGAGCCTTGCGTCCAGGCCCAGCACCATGGGTTGGGTCAGCGCGTTCAGTGCCTTCGGCCGGTTCAGCGTCACGCTGCCGACCCGGCCCTTCCGCTCCAGGATGATCTCGTCGCTCACGGCCGCTCCGCCCCGGTCATTCGGCGCCGCATCCTAAGAGGTAGCCCGGATTTCTCAACCGTGACGCCGCTTGCGTCGCGTTTGTGGCGACCTGCCTCCGCCGCAGGCCGCCACATTGAAGAGAAATTCGGCCCTGGGGCTCAATCGAGGATGTCGACGAATCCCGGCAACGCACGGAACCGACCCACCCAAGCTTCGATTGCATCATAGCCGTGCAGGCTGATGTCGCCGTCGCCGCATTGAGAGATCGCGGGGAACGTCGCGACGTCGGCGACCGTGGGGTAATCCAGTGCGATCCAGTCCCGGCCGATAAGCCGATCGTTGAACAGGCCGAGCGCCACGTCGCTGCGCTCGCGCACCGTTGTCCGCATTGACGCAGAGCCACGGAAAGAGCTTTGCAAGCCGTGCGTCGTAGGGGCCCAGGCGTATCTCGTAGGCGGCCGCCGAGAGCCACGCATTGACGAGCGCTTCCTCATCGGGATCGCTCGGCATCCATGAGTCGTTCCCGTACTTCCGCGCGACCCACACGAGGATTGCCTGCGAGTCGCGGAGCACGTTCTCGCCCTCCCTCAACACGGGGAGCTGGCCGAATGGATTGATTGCCAGGAATTCCGGCGTCTTGTGCTCGCCCTCGAGCAGATCGATGGGCTCGCGCCGGTATTCGACGCCCAGCAGCGAGAGCAGCAACCGAACCTTGTAGCAGTTGAGCGCGAGCGGGCATGTCGTAGAGCGTGATCATCGTGAATCTCCTGACGGGCTGTCGGCGAACTTTACTCACGGTGCTCGCAACCGTCTACATGTCCGACGAGAGAGATCGGCATGCGGGGCAGCGCGCTGCGACCGGCTCAGCGCCCGGAGCGCATCGATGACGAGCGCCGGATGCTCTAGCCCAGCCTCACTCCGCCAGCAGGCGGCGCGCGATGATGAGGCGCATGATCTCGTTGGTGCCTTCGAGGATCTGGTGGACCCGCAGGTCCCGCAGGTGGCGCTCCACCGGAAAATCCATCAGATAGCCGTAGCCCCCCGATGAGCTGGAGCGCCTGGTTGCAGACCTCGAAGCCGCGTCCGTGGCGAAGCGCTTGGCCATGGCGGTGACAGCGGTGGCCTCCGGCGCGCCCGCGTCCAGCGTCGCCGCCGCCCGGTGGATCATCAGGCGGGCGGCCTCCAGGTCCGTCGCCATGTCGGCGAGCGTGAGCGGAGCGCTTGGAATTCCGCGAGCTTGCGGCCGAACTGCTCACGCTGGAGCAGGTGGTCGCGGGCGATCTCCAGGCTCGCCTGGGCGGCGCCGAGGGAGCAGGCGGCGATGTTGATGCGCCCGCCATCGAGGCCCGCCATGGCGATCCCGAAACCCTGGCCCTCGGCGCCGATGAGGTTCTCCGCCGGCACGCGGCAGTCCTCGAAGATCACCATCGCCGTCGGCTGGCTGTGCCAGCCGAGCTTCTTCTCCTGCGCGCCGAAGGTGAGCCCCGGCGTATCGCGCTCCACCGCGAGGCAGGAGATGCCGCCCGGCCCCGGCCCGCCGGTCCGCACCATACAGACATAGACATCGGCAAAGCCGCCGCCGGAGATGAAGGCCTTGGTGCCGTTCAGCACGTAGTGCTCGCCCTCCAGCACGCGCGCTGGTGCGGAGCGAGGCGGCATCGGAGCCGCGCCCGGCTCGGTCAGGCAGTAGGCCGCGAAATGCTCCATGGCTGCGAGGCGGGGCAGGAAGCGCCGGCGCGCCGCGTCGCGCCGAAGGCGTCGATCATCCAGGACGCCATGTTGTGGATCGAGATGTAGGCGGCGGTCGACGCACAGCCCCGGGCCAGGCCCTCGAAGATCAGCGCGGCATCGAGGCGCGTGAGCGCCGAGCCGCCGACGTCGTCGCCGACATAGATGCCGCCGAAACCGAGTGACGCGGCCTTGCGCAGCGTCTCGACCGGGAAGGTACAGTCGCGATCCCAGGCCGCGGCGTGGGGCGCGAGCTCGTTCTCCGCGAAGTCTCGGGCCAGGTCGCGGAATGCTTGCTGCTCTTCCGAAAGGGTGAAGTCCATGGGCGGTCTATCCTAGCGAGCGCCGGCGCCCCTGCACGAGACGAAAAACCAGCGGGCCGACGACCACGATGAGAATGATGCGCGCGACATGGTGGGTCGAGACGAAGGCGGCGGCGCTGCCGAAGGAGAGCGCGATCAGGCTCATCTCCGCGAGGCCGCCGGGGGCCAGCGCGAGAAAGAGGGCCGATCCGGACAGATCGGTGGCGGCTGCGAGGCCCCAGGCCGCCCCCGCCGCAACCAGCACCATCACCACCGCGACGAGGGCGGCCAGAAGCATGACACGCCGGAGAACCCTGAACTCCATGCCCACGAAGCGCGCCCCGATGGCCGCGCCGAGAACGACCTGGGCCGCCGCCACCAGCTCGCCCGGGCGGGTACGCCGAGACGAGGCCGCTCATGTGCAGCGCCGCGCTGAGCACCAGCGGGCCCACCAGCTGCGCCGCCGGCACGCGCAGCGCCTTGGCCGCCGGATAGCCCACGAACGCGCAGGCGACCAGCGCCACGAGATCGATCCAGGAGGCCTCGCCCCGGCGGGGACCGGCAGGCCGACCGGGACGTAGCCTTCGAAGATGCGGTAGTAGAAGGCGATCAGGAACACGGCGACGAGGATGCGCGTGCCGTGGGTGAGCGAGATCGTGCGCCCGTCGCCGCCCATGCTCTCGCCGAGCACCATCATCTCGCTCAAGCCCCCCGGCATCGACGCGAAATAGGCGGTGGGCCGGTCGTAGCCGCCGAGCTTGCGGAAGGCGAGGTAGGCCATGCCCGCCGTCGCCACCGTCGAGATCACCACGCCCGAGAGGCCCACGTACCAGTCCGCGATGCGGGCGAAGATGTCGATGGTGAACTGGCTGCCCAGCAGCACGCCCAGGATCGCGATCATGGCGTTGCGGACGGCGGGGGGCACCTTGAGCGGCGCGCCCGAGAGCGCCGCCGCAGTCGCCGCGCTCATGGCGCCGAGCATCCAGGGCAGCGGCAGCGCGAGCGCGAAGAAGACCGCCCCGCCGGAGGCACCGAGGCCGAGCGCGAGGGCGAAGCGCTGCACCGCGACGCGCAGGTTTGCGGCCCGAAGTCCGCCGAAGAAGGGGGCGCGTTCCCCTTTCACGAGACACCCCGGCTCGGGACGCGACCGGGAGGGCGAAGGGGGCGCACGGAAGACAGTGGGCACGCCCTCAGGGCGTGAACTGCTCGCTGAGGATGCGCTCGGTGAGACTGTGCTCGGGGTCGAAGAGGAGGTGGATTGCCATCGCGTGATCGACCGCGACCTCGACCGACGCCACGTCGCGCACCTCGGTGTAGTCGGCGACCGCGCTGACCGGGCGCTTGTCGTGCTCGATCACCTCGAGCCGCACGATCGCCTCGTGCAGCAGCAGCGCGCCGCGCCAGCGCCGCGGCCGGAAGGCGCTGATCGGCGTGAGCGCCAGGATGTTGGCGCCGAGGGGAATGATGGGCCCGTGGGCCGAGAGGTTGTAGGCGGTGCTGCCCGCAGGCGTCGCCACCAGCACCCCGTCGCAGATGAGCTCCTCGACCCGCACGACGCCGTCGACGCTGATCCTGATCTTGGCGGCCTGGCGGGTCTCGCGCAGCATCGAGACCTCGTTGATGGCGAGCGCCTCGCGCTCTCGCCCGGATCGTCTCCGCCCGCATCCTGAGCGGATGCAGCAGTGTGGAGTGCGCCTGCTCCAGCCGCTCGGGCAGGCCGTCCACCGCGAACTCGTTCATCAGGAAGCCACCGTCCCCCGGCTCATGCCATAGATCGGCTTGCCCTGGTGCAGGAAGCGGTGCTGCGTCTCCAGCATGAAGCCATCGCCGCCGAGGGCGACGATGACATCGGCCCTGTCAGGCTCCGCGAGGGGATAGCGGGCGGCGAGTGCGGTGAGCGCAGCCTGGGCATCGGCGGCGTCCGACGCGACGGCGGCCATCCTGCGGTAACGCATGGGGTTCCCCGATGGGCTGCGCCGGCCAGCCCGGCGTTCTCGCCAGGGACGCGGGCCGGGCGGCGGCGGCTCAGCCGCCGGTCACGCTCATGTGGCGGCCGAGGGCGGGGCGGGTGTGACGGCGGTCGATGATGAAGTCGTGGCCCTTGGGCTTGCGCCCGATAGCCTCGTGGATCGCCGCCACCAGCGCCTCGTCGCTTTCGCTCTTCCTGAGCGGCGTGCGCAGGTCGGCCGCGTCCTCCTGGCCGAGGCACATGTAGAGCGTGCCGGTGCAGGTGAGCCGCACCCGGTTGCAGGATTCGCAGAAATTATGGGTCAGCGGCGTGATGAAGCCGAGCCGCTGGCCGGTCTCGCGCACCGTGACGTAGCGCGCCGGCCCGCCCGTGCGGTGGTCGCTCTCGTCGAGGGTCCAGCGCTTGCGCAGCCGGGCGCGCACCATGGAGAGCGGCAGGTACTGCTCGGTGCGGTCGCCGTCGATCTCGCCGAGCGGCATGGTCTCGATGAAGGTGAGGTCGTGGCCCTCGGCCCCGCACCAGGCGACCAGGTCCTCGATCTCGTCGTCGTTGACGCCGCGCAGGGCCACGGTGTTGATCTTGATCCGCAGGCCCGCCGCGCGCGCCGCGTCGATCCCCGCCATCACCTGCTCCAGCCGGCCCCAGCGGGTGATCCGGGCGAATTTCTCGGGATCGCGGGTGTCGAGGGAGATGTTCACCCGGCGCACGCCCGCCGCACGGAGCCGCTCCGCATGGCGGGGTAGCTGGCTCCCGTTGGTGGTGAGCGTGAGCTCGTCGAGCGCACCGCTTTGCAGATGCCGGCCGAGGCTCTCGAAGAGCCCGATGACGCCCTTGCGCACCAGCGGCTCGCCGCCGGTGATGCGGAGCTTGCGCACGCCGAGGCCGACGAAGGCGCTGCAGAGGCGGTCGACCTCCTCCAGCGTCAGCAGCTCCGCCTTCGGCAGGAAGCTCATGTGCTCCGACATGCAATAGACGCAGCGGAAGTCGCACCGGTCCGTGACCGAGACCCGCAGGTAGGTGACGTGACGCTCGAATGGATCGATCAGCATGGCTCGTGCTCCGCCGGCGCGGGGCGAAGGCGCCCCTCGGCTCGCCCCATACTACGCGATAATGCCGGGGGCGACGAATTTCTCGCGCGGAATCCGGGCCGAACGTGGGCAATGGCCGGCCCGCCGCTCGCGCGGCCCGCGCCGCTGCCGGTAGGATCGGGCCGAACGGGCATGGCGGAGTGTGGACGATGGCGAATGCGGCGGTGCCGCCTATCGATATCGTGCCCTTTCCTGCCGCCGCCCGCTGCTCGACGACGCGGCGCAGGCAGCGGGATAGCGGCGGCGCCATCCGCCCTTGACTCAGCGCGCCTGACTCCGCGTATTCGGGCGGCCCGCGCGGCGGGCGAGAGAGGCGTTTCGGAGAGGAGGCGGCCGTGGCCGAGGGAACACAGGGCACCCGCGATCGGGTCGATGAGGTTCAGGCAGGGCTCCAGCGCGACGGGATCCAGCATGTCCGCTTCGAGCTGCCGGACATGCATGGCTCGGCGCGCTCCAAGCAGGTGCCGGTGGAGCACTTCGCCGCCACCGCCCGCGCGGGCCTCAACATGTATGGCGGGGTCGTCGCCCTCGACACGGCCTCGCACGTGATCCCCGGCACCCTCTACAACGAGGAGATCAAGTACCGGGACCAGACGCTCCGCCCCGACCTGGGCACGCTCGCGACCGTGCCCTGGCTCGACGGCATGGCGAAGGTGATCTGCGACACCGAGTGGGCGGACGGCACGCCGCTCCGCGCCGCCCCCCGCCACGTCGCCCGGCGCATGCTGGAGCGGACCGCAGACCTCGGCTTCGGCATCCAGAGCGCCCACGAGTACGAGTTTTTCGTGCTCGACCGGGAGACGCACCAGCCGCTCTTCGGCGGCGTCCACATCTTCAACAACCTGCGCAACGACCACCTGCCGGCGATCCGCCAGGTGATCGACAGCCTGCGCGCGGCCGGCCTCCCGATGCTGACGGCGAACGCCGAATACGCGCCCTCCCAGTACGAGCTGGTCTACAGCCACGAAGAGGGCATGGCCGGTATCGACAACGCCTTCACCTTCAAGAACGGGGTCAAGGAGATCGTCCAGCACGCCGGCTATACCGCGACCTTCATGGGCAAGCCTGCGGCGGGCATGGCCGGCTCGGGCTGCCACTACCACGTCAGCCTGTTCGAGCGGGAGAGCGGGCGGAGCGCCTTCCACGACCCCGAGAACCCGGGAGAGATGACGCCGGCGCTCAGGCATTTCGTGCAGGGGCTCATCGATCACGGCGCCGCCTGCATGGCGCTCTTCAACCCCACCCCCAACTGCTACCGCCGGCTCACGCCCCACACCTTCGCGCCCTCGAACGTGAGCTGGGGCGAGGAGGACCGCAGCGCCATGGTGCGCATCAAGGGGCCGGGGTCGCCGGGGATGCATGTGGAGATGCGGGCCTCGTCGGCGATCAGCAACCCCTACCTCTGCGCCGCCGGCACGCTCGCCTGCGGGCTGCTGGGCCTGGCCGAGGAGCGCGCGCTCACGGCGCAGTCGAGCGGGCCGAGCGAGGACGACCCGAGCCTCCCGCCCTTCCCGGCCACTCTCGAGGCCGCACTCGCCGCGCTCGAAGCCGACAGAGCCATGGTCGACCTGCTGGGCGAGGAGTTCGTCACCGTCTTCACCACCATGAAGCGCGCCGAACTCACCCGCTTCAAACGCCCACGTCACCCAGTGGGAGCGCGAGGAATACATCGAGCTCTATTGAGGCGCGGGCCGCCGCAGTGGGAGCCGAGGGAGCGTCGCACCGGCGTTGACAGCGGGCAATCGGTTAAGATCACCCAGGGAGCCCGACAGGGCTTCGTGGCCTTCCCGCGCCGCCCGCGACGTCTTCAGGTGGCGGTAGTGCCGTCAACACGCGGTCCAATGGCTCTATCGCGTTCGCGTCACGCTCCCCGAAATAGATGCGCGCGCGTCCATCTCTAAGCCAAGCATCAAGTTGCAAATTGAACTCCGTCATAACCCCGTTAGGGTAAAGCCGTGCTTGTACGGTCGGTCTATGATCGAGGAATACATGGCTATAAGTTGGAAAACTGTTAGGATCATGGCCTCGGTCACGCAGCCAGCGTGAAAACATTCTTCCTAACGAAATATCCGGCATAAGATTGTCGGGCAGTGTATAACCCTGTTCTTCTAACGGAGCAAGAAGTCTCAATACCATTTGG